GGGCAGATGAGGAGGCGAGGACAGGCCCTTGGAGGCCTGTGCCTGGGGCAGATGAGGAGATGGGGACGGACCCTTGGGGGCCTGCGCCTGGGGCAGAAGAGGAGGCGACGGGCCCTGGGAAGGCGGCGCCTGCGGTAGAGGAGCCCTGCAGGCTGGGCCGGGGACACAGGCAGGATCGGTGACAAAGTCCCTGCAGGCTGGACCGGAGCGACCTTCAGAGTCACCATCAGAACCGAACACGGAGGAGATGTCAGACCAGACGCGACGTCGTCGGACGAGCCGACTTCAGGATGGCAGGCGACGTCGTCGGACAAGCCGACTTCAGGATGGGCGGCGGCGACGTCGTCGGACGAGCCGACTTCAGGAGTGGAGGCGGCGACGTCGTCAGACGAGCCAACTTCAGGAGTGGAGGCGGCGACGTCGTCAGACGAGCCGACTTCAGGAGTGGAGGCGGCGACGTCGTCAGACGAGCCGACTTCAGGAGTGGAGGCGGCGACGTCGTCAGACGAGCCGACTTCAGGAGTGGAGGCGGCGACGTCGTCAGCCGAGCCGACTTCAGGAGTGGAGGCGGCGACGTCGTCAGCCGAGCCGACTTCAGGAGTGGAGGCGGCGACGTCGTCAGGCGAGCCGACTTCAGGAGTGGAGGCGGCGACGTCGTCAGGCGAGCCGACTTCAGGAGTGGAGGCGGCGACGTCGTCAGGCGAGCCGACTTCAGGAGTGGAGACGTCGACCCTTGGAATGGAGGCGTCGACCCTTGGAATGGAGGCGTCGACCCTTGGAATGGAGGCGTCGACCCTTGGAATGGAGGCGTCGACCCTTGGAATGGAGGCGGTGTTGACTTTCATCCGCTTCTGGTCCTCTGGCTTCTGGACCGCCAGTCCCCGAACCGCCGACCTCTGGGCTGGTAACGTCTGCTTCTGGGCCTGCACCGGACCCATCTGCTTCTGGGCTGGTACCGTCTGCTTCTGGACCCGCATTGTCTGCTTCTGGGCCGGAACCGGAACCGTCTGCTTCTGGGCCTGCACCGTCTGCTTCTGGACCCCCCCTGGAACAGGCCTTGAGTGAACGAGCAGTGCTAGTGCTGAAGACAGGGAGCGCAGAGCGTCGAGTCGGAGCTGATTAGAATGGGCGCTCTGTTGAAGCCGGACCAGCTCAGCCCGTTGACTGGCCAGTTCAGTTGGCTGGACTGTGGGTGTGGCTCCACCTCCCACAGATGACAGAGGAGCCGAGTGGACCGGAGGCGGGACAGCTGGTTCAGCCGGAGCCGCGAACAGTTCGTCCAGCTGGAGCTCAGCGAGCAGATCGTCCAGCTGGAGCCCGCGGAGTTCAGCGAGCAGATCATCTAGCTGGAGGACTTGGAGTTCGATGGTCTGACGAACCTGGGCTGTTTCAACCTGTAGACTGGCGTGCTCCGCCCACAGGGCTGCGAGCGCAGCTCCTCCTCCTGCAGACGCCGATTCGGCCGGAGACGGGACCGCTGGTCTGACCGGGGGCGTGTCCGAACTGGCTCGCCGAGCACGGCCAGCGGTGGGCTCGCAGCTCCGTCCTGAAGCGCACGGCTGCGGTGGATTCCGGCGTCTCTCCCCACGCCGTGGACCAACCCTGGGGGAGCAGAAAGCCAGCCTCGTGCCCTCGAAGCTGGAGCGATCCCGGAGCATCTCTCCCTCCAACCTCCCGTCCGGTTCCGGAAGGGCGGCGAGGAACGCCGAGACAGAAGGTCGGGGACGCCGTCTGCGGTGAGGCGGAGCTGGAGCTGGGGAAGGAGAAGCCGGTCGATAGTCGGCGGAGAAGAACTGGAATAAATACTTCCATGGGAGGATCTCCCCGCTGGACCCTTCAGGGGGTCGTGTCATTCTGTCACGCGCGTGTGGCGAGGTGAGCTGAGGTGAGGCAAGGATCCACACACGGGGAGGAAAACAGGCAGGCAGGTGAGAACTTCTAACATTGATTTATTAGAGTCACACGCTGGAACACTGAAACAATGACACGACAGGGAACACAGAACAGAAGGGGTTTAAATACAAGAGGAGCAGGAGCTATGGTGATTGGGAAACAAGAGGCAGGTGGGAGCAATTAACGGAGAACAGACAAAACCTAAGAGTAGACAGGACAGGGCGTGACAAAGGGGTTTAGAACAGGCATGTCCAAAGTGCCGGCCTTGCAGTGATTTTGTATAAGCCCTAAAAGCATATTTAAAATGATGTTTGGTTTCTCCTGCAGACTGTTGATGTGGAGTCAAACTTTCTGACAATCTTATGTTCAATTGTTTAACAAAATGCATATTTGGACCAATTTTCTTGCATACAAATGAAAAGACCCCCCCCCCCCAAAAAATGTTTTTTTTTTTTTCAAAAAACAAAGAAAAAATAATTTTGTGGCCCACAAGGACCATTACTGTCACTGGTGCCACCCAGAGGGACCGGTGCGCCAGTGTACAGCAGGCCTCGCCTCTGTCAGTGTGCCTTGGGGGGGTTGAAGAACCCCAGAGGGCGCTATACAAATACAGACCATTTACCATTTTATTACTTCTACAATTTTTTCCCTCACCTTGAAAAGTTTGGACACTCCTTGTTTAGAACATGAGTTAGTGAGAGAAGTATTTTCAACACTGAAATCTCCCATAACTACAAAATACTAAACATCACTGATGCTGGTAGGAGTGGAGTATTCAACGGGGAGTCTCTCTCTCTGATTGAGCTGGTTGGGTGGATTCTGAGCCGCTTCCTTTTTTTAGGGTCAGGCGCAGATTCCTGCCATGTTTGTGGGCAGGCAGCTGCCTAGAACAATGTTGGGCTCTTGCTGCAGTCTGAACGATCGGCCGTGCAGTTTGGAGGGCAGCGGGTCCAAGCAGCGTCCCTGTGGACACCCGGAGTCTGTGTGATCCCATGTTTATGCAGTTTGGTAAAACATTAGACTGTTTGTGTGAGCTGCTCGTTAACTAATTAAGAGCGAAAGTGCTGCTAAAAGAGGCTCTATTCGGAAAGGCCAAGTTCAAATTTAAAACACTACTTTGCTTCAGAGGAGTTGTTTACAGATTACTGTGTTTACTGTCTAAACTAGCCGTTAATACGGAGCATGGAGCAAGAGGGGGGTGGAATCTGCAGTTTTTCTGGTCTGAGCTGTGCAACCTGTTAGCAGCAGGAATAAAAAATAAATTAAGTACTTCAAATTTTCATTCAAAGACCTGATTAAAGTGTTAATGGGTTCTGTTCTACTTCCAATAAACTTGTATGTGTTATTTCTTTTGTAATAGATATGTAAAACCTGCAGAAGCAACCCCCTTCTGTAGCTTAGACTCATAGTAGGAACATCATTCAGGTTTGAATGCATCTGAACTGGCATTTGCATCATTCTTTTATGTTTTCTACACCGTTGTCTCAGTTTTAGAGGCCTTCAACTGACGGAGGGTTATTCCACACACTTTCAAATTTTCAACTGTCTACACCTTTCCCATATTTGCTAACGCTTCACTTCAATAACTTCTTTACTACACAAGCTACACATCAAAACATAGGTATTTTTGCCCCCCTTCACCAACTGTGACTCTGACTGTTGCAGGACTTACTGTTTTCTCTCAGTTCTCATCAGAGTGCAGAGGGCGCACACCCTAGCTTCCATAGACAGTTTCATTAGCTCAAAAGTTTTCTTCAACTGTTAGTAAAGGGTTTACACATCAACTTCAAAAAACAGTCTAGAAACATAAAAAATGAACATGAGTGATCATTAGAGCCTTCGGTTTATAACTTACAGTTCAAGACTTTTACCAACTTTAGTTGCAGTGTTTGCTCAGCAGCTTTTTGTTGGAAGTTTAGCTTTTGGTCTGCCTCTCGATGAAGCAGCCATCTGGAGTTTTTCCCTTTTCATCAGAAAAGTTAGCTAAACCCGCCCATCTATGTAGAGCACCATGCACCTTGAATTGAGCGCCACTCAGCATTAGCCAAAAGTGTTAGCCATCCGCTTATGCCTCTATTAGCTCATCTTAAACAAGATATTTCCTGCATGGGAATCCTTGCCACTGGCCTTGGGAGGTAGGATTAACACCGTTCTGATCCAATGTCTCCAAATTTTTCTTTCTGAACCTTTTTTTTCTTTCAGATTTGGATAGTTTGCTGTCAGGTTTTATATGGCACCACAGACATCCGAGGGCATGGGTTAGGGTTAGGGGTTTTGTTTTGACTTGTTTGTTTATCTTGTTCTGTTTAACATGTTTTGAAAAGATTTATTTCCAACAAATGACACCCACTGACATACTGATGTCAATCACGCAGCACACATTTGGTGAAATACCCAGACTGATGCAGAGTTAATGACATTTCTTATGGACAAGTGCATTCTTTTTTGATAACATAGAAATGTGAATCAACAGAGAGAGGAGTTCATGTTCTTATTGATTTATTAAATTTGAACCACTTCCAGACAAATCCAATCAGGTGCTGAACTCCTATTTTAGGAATCTGAAACTTCCAGCAGGTTGCAGCACAAACACCTACTTGAGTCCCTTGATAAGGCGCCATGTGTCTTCTAACCAGACTGGAGGTTGAAGTGTTGGGCATTAATGTGTATAAATATTTGGATGTGAGTGTGTTTATGAATGTTTGGACACTGGTGCATTATTCTCTGATTTAATACAACAATAACTGACTGACACAAACGTAAGCATAGATAACTCACTAACGGAAAGCACATTTAAGACCACTGGAGCCATGATGACTGTTTTTAGAAACTGCATAGACTAATCTGTAACACCAGGATTTCCTTATTCTTGCAAAAGAAGGAACTACCCAGCTCAGCGTGGTGATACACTCTCATGTGTATTAATAACTAACCAGAGCTTGAAACTTTATCTTTGCATCCATGACAACAGTTATGCCTCAAAGGGAGTGGCTTCATGTTTTCCAGAGCAATTGGCTCATGGGTGGGGCATCCCCTGACTGACTCCCAGAAGGGTTTTTTTTTTTTTAATAAATCAACTAATCCTCAGCTGTGTGACCTCTGTGCAGACAGGATGGCAGCGCACCACGTAGAGTTTGAGCGGGCCGGTCAGAACCCGGGTCTTCAGGTGTGGAGGGTGGAGAACTTTAACCTGGTGCCAGTTCCTGAAAACCTGTATGGGGGATTTTACACCGGGGACGCCTACCTCATCCTCAACACCATCAAACAGCGCTCCGGAAACCTGCAGTACGATCTCCACTTCTGGCTGGGTGAGTTCATTCAGCCAAACATTGTTCTTCCAGGAAAAATCATCAAAGTATAGAATAATCACAGAATGTGTTTCATATTATTTTCTGTTTAACTTTAAAGTGTAAATTTGTCATCTTTTAACTAGAGATGATTCCAGTTTTCCAGAGCAGCTATAGTCTCATTTGACTTGCAAAGCAGAAGAGGCTCTTTAAGTTTAAAACATTCTCACCGATCACTGCTTTGCATCATCCCCTGAGTGGCAGCTCGCTCCTAAAACACAATTACTTCAACAAGAATTTGCTTTAAATGGTCTGTTTTGCCATTTTTAATAAGTGTACAATAATTAGCATTTCGGAATAACATAAAATTGCATAGCATGGTTACATTTTCTAAAGTTTTTTGCAGAGTTTGCAACATCCACTTTTTTATCAGTTATAGGTGACATATTAAGATCCTCCATGTCAATAAAAGTAGTAAAATATTATAAAACATTCAAAAAGTTCCAGTTCTGCTTTTTAAGTGCTACTTAAATTACACCCTACCAGTAAGGTGTAATAAAGCTTTACTAATCCAATTATTTATGAATAATTAGTAGAATGTGATTTCTTATCTGATTGTGTTTCATTTAAATAATAAATGTTGGTTTAAAACCTCGACATAAATCCAGGAAAGACCTTATGGAGCCAGAGTCTGGGCCTCCAGGAAGTAGAATGAAAGTCCCGCCTACATACCCGCACACACCATGGTGTTTTTAAAGCATCTATGTAGAACAGAAATGAATGTTGAACACACAACAGTAGTCAGCCTTTTGTAGAAAATATCTCATTTATATACATGGAGGGGCAGGACCTAAATGTTGTACTGCAGCCAGCCACTAGGGGGTGGTTTGGGCTATTTTGGGCTGCAGCTTGCATGTTACTCTATAGATCATACATCAGGATTCTTACCCTGCTGCCACCATCTAATTAATTTATTGATTAATAAGTGATATTTTATTGATCCACTTGAGGAAATTATTTGACCAAACCCTGAGGAGCAACTTTCAGGGTTCTTGCCTGAGGAACACATGACCTGCTGAACCCTGGGATGGAACCACTCACCTTCTGTTTATCGATACATATTGTTTTTCTAACACACACACAGAGACTTCACCACACAACATAGGTCAATACTAGGAGAATGAAATTGTACCATGTCTCTAATTTTGCTGGCACAGGGGATTTTTGCACCCAGGATGAGAGCGGCTCAGCAGCCATCTTTACAGTCCAAATGGACGATTTCCTGGGAGGAAAACCCATCCAGTACCGGGAGGTGCAAGGGCATGAGTCCAAAACCTTTCTGGGCTACTTCAAATCTGGAATCAAGTACATGGTAGGATGTCTACAGCAATATTGTGTTTGTTTTACCTTCCTTGTTATGCCTGCTGTGTGTCTGAATAGTGACAATAACTGATGCAAGCATGTCTGATTTTGGGTCACCTCGTGTTAAAATGTGACCTTTTCTTCTAGAAAGGAGGCGTGGCATCAGGGTTCAAGCATGTTGTCACCAACGAGGTGTCGGTGCAGCGGGTGCTGCAGATCAAAGGTCGTCGTGTTGTCAGGGCGACGGAGGTTGCAGTCAGCTGGGACAGCTTCAACCAGGGAGACTGCTTCATCCTGGACCTGGGAGATGTGAGTCTGATTATAAACAGATATCTGCATCCTTGCATCCTAAAAGGAAAAGCTTTCATTTGTTTTTAAGTTAATTAAGCATCTCATTAATTCTCTGCTCCTCTTCTCATTCCACAGGAGATTTATCAGTGGTGTGGCTCTCAGAGCAACCGCTTCGAGAAGCTGAAGGCTACTCAGGTCGCTAAGGGTATCCGTGACAACGAGCGCAGCGGGAGAGCCCGGGTGTATGTCTGCGATGAGGGGGTGGAGAGAGAGAAGATGCTAGAGGTGAGACCAGTGAGCCACGGAAGCGAATTAACCCACAAACTGAGACTGTTATCAAACTGTTGCTTCTGCTCATAGGTTTTAGGTCCCAAACCAGATCTGCCTCCAGGAGCTTCTGATGACATCAAGGCTGATGCTTCAAACAGAAAGAGGGCCAAACTCTACAAGGTGAGACGATGAACACTGAAGAGACAAATATGTGTCTGCAGCTATTTAGGAGCAAGTTTCAGGTCATCCATCAGGGAAGACAGTGTGGGGAGGTCAGAACAACAGGGTGTTAGACTCTAATAGGGCTCTGACTAATATCTGGGTAAAGTCCATCAGATCAGTCCTGGAGAAACTGGACACAAGCACACCTAGCTTGTTTCAGCTGATAGAGATTTCGTGCTTTTTAAGACTTCTTTTAAGTCCTTCGTTCTACAAGAGACTACGGTCGATCATTTATGCATGCTTTCAATATTCATTTGTACTCTAAACCTGGAACTTAAAAAAATCTTTAAAAATATGAAAAAACATTTCAAAATAAAAATTAAGAAGATGGCCACTTTTTATTTTGTATGTTTTAAATAACTGAAGAAAATAACAAAATGTATTTAGCCATCAGGCATTACAGTGAGGGTAAAAACCTAATTTGTGATTTAATAATCAGTTAATTTTATTCTTTAAAGGTACCATATGATGAATTTTAAACATTTGAGAACAAAAGTAGGCAGAATATATGATAAAATATCACCGTTGGCACTTTTGAGATGTCATTTATTTTAAATAAAAGCAACATGGCAATTGTCACCTATGCTGCATATCCTAAGCTGGCCAGGGGAGACAGGTTTAAGACCAGAGACTAGCTTCTGAGGGAGGAGCAGGGCCTGATGTTGGGAGGCCATTTCAGGAATTTCAAAATAAAACTCAAAATTTGCAGCTGAAACATGTAAATGCATTAATGCAGCCAAAAATGGGTTTGGGGGTATTTTTCATGAGGAAACATCAATATTACATGATAAAAAAGCTTCAAAATGTGGATTTTCCATGATATGGTCCCTTTAATAATTGAAGTATTTAGTAGCTAATGTTAATATAAAAAGATCTATGATTATTCATAATTATCAAATATTCATATAAACGCAACATGACTTTTTGGTGTTTCTGCATTACTTTTGCGCTTAAGACCTGAGCTGAAGCTGAACAAACATTGACCTGAATTGTTTAGATGATCGCACATAGGTTACAGAAGAAGTGACACAAATCCATAAAGAATAACTATAATAAAGAAAAAAAAAACAGGAAAACAAATTATGAATCCTGAGCCAGCATTCAAATAAATTCGTCACTTGCTACCTGCAATTCTTAAACCAGCCCCTAGAGGGCAGAAGACGTGTACAGCAGGGTCCTCGTGTCTTAAACTGACCTGTCCCTCCTGCAGGTTTCCAATGCCAGCGGAGCAATGACCATCGCACTGGTAGCAGCTGAGAACCCGTTCGCTCAGAGCGCCCTGGAGTCTGGTGACTGCTTCATCCTGGATCACGGCTCAGATGGCAAGATCTTCCTATGGAAAGGTCAGAACACGCTGGCAGATAGGATGAGCGGATGTTCACCAGTCCCAAAAAGGATGTTCTTTTTCATCAACCTTGTTGATTTAAAACAGACAAAAGCTTAGATAGTTTCACTATTTTCCTCTACAGGAAAAGATGCCAACATGGATGAACGAAAGGCGGCAATGAAAGCAGCCGACGAGTTCATCAAGAAGATGGGATACCCCAAGCACACGTCGGTCCAGATCCTCCCGGAGATGGGCGAGACGCCGCTCTTCAAGCAGTTCTTCAAAAACTGGCGCGATAAGGATCAGACCGAAGGTCTGGGCGTGGCCTACATCGCCAACAGCATTGCCAAGATTAAGAAGGTGCCCTTCGATGCATCCAGCCTTCATGAGTCGCCCGCCATGGCGGCCCAGCATGGCATGGTGGATGATGGCAGCGGGGAGAAACAGGTGAGGTTAGATCGGTTGCCTAATTTGACGTTGTGATTATAAGCTCTCGGAAAAATGCAATATGCTCTTAAAGACAAACCCGTCTTTACGCCATTGTTAGGTGTTCACCAATCACTATGGCAACCAAGCAGAACAAGGATGGTAGCTGATGTGTAGAACTATGCATAACATGTATGACAGTTGCTTCTTTATGTCGTTCTTTTTAAACAACGATCTCTGGGATGAAGACTTGTTTTCTGGGAATCTCTGGAAGTTCTAAGATCTGACTGATGTAACATGAATCACAAACACAGCTTTGAATCATAACACCAAAGTTTGTTAAAACCTCTTTAGTAGGGAAACCTTAAGTCAAATCTTGCATTCATTACTCTGTGATCCAGTTGCGAGGGCAGGAGGTCTGTATGAAACAACTGAATACCTGCTGCTTATGGAAATCCAGCAGGCTGATAAGTCATTATTATTTATTTCCAGTTTAAGGGCGTAGAGCTGTGTTGTTGTCTGTGGGAAGAAGCTCTGTGAATATTATGACAGTTCTTGGTTTAATGGGGGATTCTCCTTAAACACAACAGATCTGGCGCATTGAGGCTTCAGATAAGGTCCTGGTGGATCCGTCCACACATGGACAGTTCTATGGAGGAGACAGTTACATCATCTTGTACAACTACAGTCATGAAGGACGTCAGGGACACATCATCTACATGTGGTGAGGAGTTTGTGACTTTGGATGAACCCTAAACCAGTGTGAAGTGTTTAAGTCTGGACTCTAATTTGTGTGTATAATATTCTTTGTTGAACAGGCAGGGAATGGACTCCAGTCAGGATGAGATCGGAGCGTCGGCGATCCTCGCTGCCCAGCTGGACGAAGAGCTGGGTGGAGGTCCTGTTCAGGTAGATCGTTCTCTTCGGCTTTGCTTTTCATGGTCTCACATTCACGTTTCCATTCATGGTATTAACACCTGCTCTCCTGTGGCTTAGAGCATCCTTTTATGTTTTTTAATCATCTCTCTCATGGTTTCCCTTCTGCTGCTTTTTCTTTCCTCCTCGGTTGCTGGTCCTTTCTGTCCCCTCAGGTTGTTGGTGCTCCCATAACCACTCAGGTACTTCCCCTCATTTTCCCTGCTTCTGAGTGCAAACTAAGACTTTTCTAGGCTATGAACGAAAAGCCTGAGTTCAGTCAGATTTGCCATTTGAGTCAAACCCAAACAGGAAGTTCCAGGGTGGATGTTGGTGAGAAACTCCCAACAACCCTGGTGGGACACAGTCTTATAAGACTGGTAAAACTTATGACCTCAAATATCAGTCTGAAAGATACAAATTGTCCCTAAAGCTGATTAAAAAGTACATAAACACATTTTGGTGATTTTGCTACACAGCTTCTTGCTTCCACCTTGTGTCTGGAATCATAACTGCACCAGCAGTCTGTCCTGTATTAATGCGTATTTCACAAGAGCTGCTGTGTCGCAGCATCATAATGCATGGGTGTGATGTCATCAGCAACCATCTACATTTGCTCTGCTGGTGTTTGCGCACCAGGTGAGGGTGGTTCAGGGGAAGGAACCTGCCCATCTGATGAGTCTGTTCGGAGGACAGCCCATGGTGGTCTACAAGGGAGGAACATCCAGGGAGGGAGGTCAGTCGGCTCCTGCTGAGGTCCGATTCTTCCAAATCCGCTCCAACTCCACAGGACACACCAGAGCCGTGGAGGTGAGAGAACATTGCATGTTTGATGGCCAGAGGTAAAAGACGATGTTTGTCCTGTGCCTCTGTGTGTGCTTGTTAGCAAAAATAGCCCATGGACTAAAGAATGGGTTTGAGTGAAATTCTCAGAAAATAATCATACGTCTACAACTGCTCGGGTTTTAAACTCTGGTTTAAGACAGCCGTCTCAGCTGATCCACGTCAGCAAACATCAAGGTGGCTTCAGCTCAGCCACTGTCACAGTCGTCGTCTGACTGGTAGGAGTTGAGCTGTGGCGTGCGTGACTTCCCAGACGGAAGTGTGAGCGCTGGGATAAAGCCGGTGTCGGTACAGGATCTGCTCGGTTGCAGGATCGGCTCGGGGTCCTTCAACTGCCGATGACGTCAAAGTAGTTGATTGGCTGAACATGAAGCTTACAGAAGTTACGTTATCACGTTATGATTTTGATTGGTCAGAACAAATTTGCGGTCGTAGTCTTAGCGGTTGTAGTCCTGTAGTCCAAAAATCAACACTTTTTGGAGAAAATATGTTTGAATTTCTAAAGGAAATGTCAAATATAAGCAAATGATAAACAGTGACCCTCAAAAGTTCATGATGTTGATGAAATGGGTCAAAATAAAATATAAGAACTTTATTGAAAGACACCAAGGAATATTCTGAGTCAAATAATGCATTTAGTTAACAACTAAGAAAATATACAGACGAGCTCCACATTAATACACACAGATATGGCTTCACATATAAGAACTGTTCTATTTTTTGTCAGTCCGATGTTGGTTTTATGCAGTTTCACATTCTTTACAAAACAAGATAATATAGTGTTTTATTAACAAATTACAATTATAAAGAAAACATTTAGGTGTTAACAAACAAGAATTTATTAACAAAACTGCTGCTGTCTTTCCAAAACGTATGTGTGAAAGCCGAGTAGATTTGCAGTAATGTGACGTCATCGGCAGTCGAAGGACCCCGAGCCGATCCTGCACCGACACCGGCACGCGGTTTGATCTAGGAATACCCGAGCGCTGGCCGAAGTGGAACAGAAGTGCTAAACGGAAAGAGCACTTACTGGGTGGAGAAGACTCACTGAGAGAACTGGCTGGTTGGTTACTCTGATTATAGGTTCGAGGAAAAAAATGACTGAGTGACGTGAAGGGGAGGCGACTTCCGTATGTAGTCGCTGTTGGTGACGTAGGTGGGGAATGATGGGAATCCCGGCGAGGGGCTGCTGGGAGTTGTGGTCCTAAGCGGATGCCGGTTGGCTGGGGGAGGATGGTCTGGAGGCTGGGACTCTGACGGTCACATCTACAGATCATGAGCTAAAATGTAAGATGTTAGTAGCCAAGAGTCACTCATACCTCAAATGCTAACAGATCGTGCGAGATAAAAAAAAAACCGATTGAAATCATGTGTCATGTTATTTTTGAGGTTTGACCAAAAACACATATAATGGTGAACCATAGAAACTTTCACCCTGGTGGCAGTGATGAAGTGCTCCATTAGCAACTTCATAGCAGAACTCCCTCAGACTTGTGTTATTTGTGGAAATAAAACATCAGCGTTGCAAGTCAGTGGTAGAGTCACATTGCTGTTATCAATCAGAGGCCAGATGTCCACATATCATAAAATAATCCTGCTTTCTGAATCTCAGCTGTGATGCAGCTCACTTCTAGTTCCTGGAAACGGTGCGCCTATGTTTTTTGCCCTCTGAGTAAGACTTATAAGGCATTCATTCCTACTAGAAACCACTGCAAGTGTATTGATTAAACTAATGTAACCACTCCTTTAAGGTTAATCTGCACACCTGATTTCTCTGCAGGTTGATGCAGCGGCGTCCAACCTGAACTCCAACGATGCTTTTGTCCTCGTGACCCCCGACGGCAGCTACATGTGGGTGGGAGCGGGTGCCAGCGAAACAGAGAAGCAGGGTTCTCAGCAGCTGTGTGACATTCTGGGAGTGTCAGTCTCAGAGCTGTCCGAGGGAGGAGAAAGTGGTCAGCAAACATCATTATACCTTGTTTTCCTAATAATCAAATCAAAACTGAGGCTAGCATTAGGTTTTGTTTCAATTAGCTCCTTTTAGAATCCAACTCTGCTGGTTGATTGGGATGATCATTTGGATTTATGTCGTTTATTGTGACAGATCAGTTCTGGGAGGCTCTGGGTGGGAAGGCAGAATACCGGACCTCCACCAGGCTCAAGGACAAGATGGACGCTCACCCACCGAGACTCTTTGCTTGCTCCAACAAAACTGGAAACTTTATCGTAAGCATTTAGCAGTGACACAATTACCTCACCTGTAATGTGATATTGGCATAACCCATGAGGCACCCAGGTACAAAACTGCTATATGTTTTGGACGTGAACTATTCTCTTCTCAGATTGAGGAGGTACCTGGGGAGATGACCCAGGATGACCTCGCCACAGATGATGTTATGATCCTTGACACCTGGGAGCAGGTAACAAAAAACTGCGTCAGCTGTTCTATATTCACTCAAAACTAGTGCAAATTATTCCAAACGATGAAATTGTTCTTTTGTAATTTAGGTGTTTGTCTGGATTGGAAATGACGCCCAGGAAGAGGAGAAAGCTGAAGCCATGGCTTCTGGTGAGGACGTGTGGGGACTGGGTTGCTTTAGAAGCACCGATGATCAGGAAATGCCACTGACACTTATCTCTAATCTGTTCTCCCTCAGCTGTCCGCTACATCGAGACCGACCCAGCCAACAGAGACAGCAGGACGCCCATCGTCAAAATCAAGCAGGGCTTCGAGCCGCCCACGTTCACCGGCTGGTTCCTGGGCTGGGACCATGACTACTGGACCAGCGACCCTCTGGAGCGGGTCATGGCAGAACTGGCTTTGTGAGCTCTCAGCTGATCCACCCCTCCAGGCCCGTCTGCTGTTCTGCTAGCAACTCCTTGACTTTCTTTAGCTGCCAATACCCAGTGGGAGTTTTTAGTTTTTCTGTCTTGTGCGACGCTAGTGCCTTCACAAGTCTTTTAAACACAGCCATTAGAAAACAGGGCTTCAGAGATGAACAAGCTCTCTGTTGTTTTGCACTAAATATAGTTTAAATATAGAATTTCTGAGGAATATTCCAACTTTTATATTTTGACAATGAAACAAAGTGATACTGTTATGATTCTACAGCTCAGAAGGAACACGACTAATGCCTTAACTTGTCCTTTGGTTTACAGTAAGCTGTTTTTTTTTTCAATGACCGTTTCAGGTGAACGATCCATTGTTTTAGTTTAAACATCACTTTTATATTTATTTTTAGCAATCAGCCTTGGCAAGAAAACTTATTCTGCGGTTTTATCTTTGAACAGTGACTGGACATGATGCTGCTTTCTAAACCAGTTCCATCTTCTGTCATACTTACTTCAATTAAACCAAATGAAACACCCGTTTCTTCTTTCTTGGATCGGAAACTCTGGTCAAACTTGCTCTAAGCAGGAGAAGTTTCAAGTCCACTCATGTGAGTATCCACTCAGGAACACTGTTAACAGACATTATTAATGGAGCCCTAATATCTTGATGTTACTATGGCAACTACTGGGAACCAAAGCATCTTATTCAAAACATGAATTTGATTTTAACAATTTTTTTCCAACTAAAAGTCATCTGGGAATAATTTGAAGGAATTCTGCTTGTTTCCGTTGGATAGATTAAAAACGGGATGACCAGGTGTGCGTGGACTGATTAAAACTCTGGGATTCTAGAATAAAACCTGCCAGTGAAGTTCAGGGAGTCTGTTGTCATGGTGACAGACATCATCTCTTTCTGGAACAGAAAAGTTCCCTGTTAACCTAGATAAACCACGTTCTAGAACACTCATCTGGAATAACCAAAGCTTTTTTTGTGGATAGCATCTTTATTTGAAGGAAAACATGAAGATTAACTCATATCCGAGCTCACCGTTCAAAACAACCAATAGGGTCAGCGAACAACATTTAGTAAATAGGACTTTTATAACAATCCTTTCAAAAACAAAAGTTGCTTTAATGAGCAACAGTGAAAATAACGTGATCCAAGCTGCTGTCTGAGGAACAAGCACAGATGTTTGGTCGGACACAGCTGGATCCATTTCTCCTTCTGAAATAAACCTTAAACATAAACTCAGACGAACAGAATCTCACAGCGGCATCAAAACACAAAAACACAACCGCTCTTATAGTTTGTAACAAAATGTAGAAAAGTTATTTGTGACAAAGTTGAAAACATCATTTATACACAGAAATACTAACAACAACCACTACTATTCACACTGATCAGCCATAAGATTATGACCACCAATGATATGGTGCCATAGAGGGCCGGCTGGCACTTTGGCACCACACCAAGTAGGTGGTCATATTGTAATGGCTGCTCTGAGGTATCAAACACTTTGGTTACACAAGTACAACTAACTATAAAGTTATTTTTCAAGCAAACTGGCATACATGTTTTATAGTTCATCACAGATAAGTGGTGGGTGATTAAAACATCAATAAAAAATCTGAATAAAATGACAGAATTTCTTTAGACAGTAAAGAATCAGACCACTAGATGGCAGTAAGTTAAGGCTTTAGGCAGAAACATTTTTAGCCCCTGAAGTTTTTTCATTTGAAGAAACTGAAAATGTAGCGAGGGTGGGACAAATGAAAAGGCACAACTACGGAGTTGCTGATAAAGATTCTGTCTGTTAGCTTAATTATGGCTTTCAAGTCAAAAAATGTGAATCTGAATATTTCATAAACATAGAGAGCTTTTAAGAACTATATACAGGCTCCATCTAGACTGGTGATAGAACAGGATGAGCGAAGTCATGCTTTAATGCTGCAGATCTGCTGTTCCTATACTGTCAGTCTGAAGAGTAATACTTATAGTGATGAATGAATAATCAAATATCAGTTCATTTACTGAGTTTGTTACAACACATGTAAGAAAGCAACAGTGGCTTCTAAGCATCTTGCTACAGTTTCACAGTTAAAGCTCAGAAGTGAAGTGAATGTTAAACTAAAACTAATCAAATATGAAGTCAATATTTGGAGACATCAAGTTCCATTTTAGCAAGTTCAGCTAAAAATATTAAACGTTTCCAGAGTGGTCACAGTGGGGTCACAATACCAGGCCATCAAGGTGTGTGTGTGTGTGTGTGTGTGTGTGTGTGTGTGTGTGTGTGTGTGTGTGTGTGTGTGTGTGTGTGTGTGTGTGTGTGTGTGTGTGTGTGTGTGTGTGTGTGTGTGTCCAGAGTGGTCACAGTGGGGTCACAATACCAGGCGATCGTGTGTGTGTGTGTGTGCGTGCGTGCGTGTGTGTGTGTGTGTAAACTCTTTTCTTCTCACATACATTACTGATGAGTGTTTGGCAGACATTTCAGGGCAGTGGTGCAACTTTCTCACTCAGTTAAAAGAACTGAGCACTAAACTAAACAGAAAGGGTCGTAATAAGCAGCTACTTTAAATGCCTTGCTAATCAAGAGACCTTTGGTGGGGGGGGGGGGGGGGGGTTGGGGGACCTGGATGGAACCCTAATGGTTTTATTTAGATTTAGCGTTTCAGGAGACCTTGCATCATCTCCAGCGGCAGCGGGAAGATGATGGTGGAGTTCTTCTCTGCAGCGATGGTGTTGAGGGTCTGCAGGTAGCGCAGCTGCAGGGCAGACGGGGACTCTGCAATCACCAGGGAGGCCTCCTTCAGAGCCCGTGACGCGTTCATCTCTCCTTCTGCTGCGATCACCTTTAGAGGGAAACATGAGATAAGCATTTATCCGGAAACACTGCCTTTTTCACTCAAGATTTTCTCTCCTGTATTGTAACAAAAGCTGCAATCCTGTTAGACGCCAGCCTGTACGGGCTCAAACCAGCAGAACACAAAAACTAGATAAAGGAAGTTGAAATGGAAAGAAAGTTAAATTGCCCCGCAGTGACTGGCTGTAGTCAAGTTTTAAATCCCACCCACTCTAAAAATTAAATAAATGAGTTTTATTCAAAGTTACACATCATGAAGCACGTGTGCATGCGTGCATGTTCAGATGAGGCAGATCTCTCCTTACCTTGGCTCTGGCCTCTCGGCTGGCCTCGGCCTCAGCAGCCATGGCTCTCTGGAGCTGCAGGGGCAGCTTTACATCTTTGATCTCCACCCGCTCCACTTTGATGCCCCAGGCATCTGTAGCATCATCCAGAGTAGACTGAAGGAACAAAGACATAATGATCAGTGACTGATTGGACTTTAAAGAGCAAGTCACCCCCAAATCAACAATTTTTTTCTGATAAACTCTATAAATGCGTGTCTAATCGTGCTGCAGACATGTGTAGACAATAGTTTTGTACTTTAGTGCATTTTAGTTAAAAATTTAATTTTCTGCCTGAAACCGGCAGTGTTGTGCCGTTGTCAGGTAAAAACTCTTCACTGCATTTGAATTTAAATCTGCCACCGCTATTGGCTAAGAGGTATGCTATGATGTAAACTGGTACATTATGATGTCACAAAGTCGTGAGTGTGTGTATTTGTTAGTGGCTCCACCCTCGGTCTGCTAGGCAACAGCATTTGTTGCATTTTTCAAACATGAAGTGGGAGTGAAGTACGCTTCTTGTAAGGGGTGACTTGCTCTTTAAAGCTCCTGTGTTGTCATTTTAAAACTGTCCTACAAATGGAGACATATCCAGCTGTCAGACAGTTGCTGAGCTGGTTTTCTCCGTTAACTTAATCAATCCAAGATGATTTTGTGATAAAAGCTAACTGAACTAAAAGCTGCAGCTGTTTTTTCTCCTATCATAATTGCTCCTTTAGCACCATAGATTCACTTTTCGTTATACACATTAAAAGCTTCGGAACCATGAAGAGGTTGATGCTTGGCTTTTACACTCGTGACAGACACTTGTTTCTGGTTACAATTGTGCCTCCTGCTAATGCTCATAACACTAGGTAAAGATCAGACAATCAGACACAGGCAGGAACTTTAAAGCTGAACTAAACATGTTAAAAACTAATAACATCTGAGAAAAAATCTCCTGATTATTAACAGACATCCAGCTGGATCTGTGTTAGAAATAAATATGTAGTTGTTCAGTAACTCACAATAAACTGATACATTGCACCCAGATGTAAACATTCCCAGGTTTATACTAGTTTCATGTATGATTGTAAAACAATTCAGCTGATGCTGACTCAACAAAAGTGAATTTGTCTTGAGTTGTTTTCAGATATTTCCATGACTCATCCTTTAGTGAAAACTCAGATATGATGGAGAAGTGGTGAGCTAAAAGGGTCTGGGAAGCTGAGTGGACACTAGAGGACAACCACCAGCAGTTAGTGCAGAGAGGGGACAGACACTGGCGTCTGTGGGTCTGAGCAGACACAGGAGCACAAGCAGCTTTCTTTAAATTATATAAATGAATAAGAAATAAGATATAATCTTCAATTCAACAGAACTCAAACTAAAATCATTAATTTACAGGAATACTTCCCTTTAAAGTAACTAGACATGCTACTAAGCCATATGCTAGGGAAGATAACATGCTGATGCTAACACGGGTGCTGATATCAGAAGTTTGGTCTACCTGCATGCTGTGTGCGATCTCCTCCCGGTCAGACAGGATCTCTGCCAGGTTCTTGGTGCCCAGGACGTTCCTCAGGGTGGTTTGAGCCAGCAGTCGGGTGGCAGCATCCGCATTAGTGATGTTAGCCACCGCTAGAGTCGCGTTCTGAACCCGGTAGTAAACCACACCATCAACACTCACCGTTACAGAGTCTTTAGTCAAAACCTGAAGAAAACAAAATGCCCAAATATCAGCAAGTGTTCTGCAGAAAGGATTAAGCTGTGAACAGAGACACACAAAACGAATGTCAACAGGTAGGGAGCCTGTCCTACCTCTTGTGGTGGGATGTCGAAGGTGATTGTTCGCATGTCCACGTTGATGAAGCTGTCGGTGCATGGCAGGATGAAGAACAAGCCTGTGGAATCACAAGAATGAAAACAATCTGACCAAAGACTAAAACCACAGTAAACACATTAATGACCGAGCCGATCGGCAAATGTTTGGAAACACCAGAATAAATGAAACTCTGGCAGGAGAGGAACGCTCTCCATCGGACTGCAGCTGTGCTGAAGGTGAGGTGAAACTGAGGATGTTTGCAGCTTTCATTCAACTGTTTCACATCATTCTGATTTAATTATGACATCAAACAATATGAGACATGTGCCTGAGTGACGCAGACGTGTGCTGGGTGTCAAAACATTTAGCAAACATTAAAGGCCCAGTGTGTAAAAACATTCGACTTCAAAGCACCACACTGGTCAGAGTAGGTATTGCAGCTACAGTAGCCCCACTCATCTAAAAGGCAATGTGTAACCACCACATAAGCTTTCAACCACCTGCAAGTTTTATTTACTGTTTCTGCTGCTTCCTACAGTCTCTCTCATGGATTAGAGAGCCCTCTGTCCATGTCCTGTAAATATATGCAGAACGGGTCTGATCAGTCATTTGCAACAGGTGTCTTCTCGTCCGAGCGCTGCTGCTTCTGCTGCTTGTAACACGTCTACCACACCTAATGCGCGTGCCGCGTCACTCGTCTTCCCGTCCCCTGCGGCTGTGAGAGCACTACAACATTTATAAACAACCACCAACTTTCAATCCACCAATCACATGTAGTTAGAGTAAGGCAAGTGGAAGTAGCAGAATTTCCCCAAAGCAGCAAGGCTGCCATGAGGAGGACCGGCGCCATCCCCACATAACATTAGAGGGAGGAGAACTTTCATGTCAAAGCCCAAATGCAGAGTATTATGTCTCATATGTCCCTAAACAGCTACGGTATTTCAAGATGGCGCATGACTACGGAGCATCGACCACAGTTTATATATATATAGAAATGAGGGACATTCCGATCAGGCTTTTATTGCTCCCGATCTGATTCATTTCAGTCATTTGATTTTGAGTATCTGCCGATACCGAGTCCCGATTCGATACTTTTCAACAAAGCATTAAAATAATAAGATAAAAAGGAAATGATTTGCAGGAAAGCATTAAAATATGAGGAAAACACATCCAAGTTGTCCTTTAAGTTTCACGTTCACTTATTTGCGCAGTACACTGATAAAAAAAAAAATTTTTTAAATATGAATATAAATTAAAGTAGCAGCATTGCTCTTATTTCAAGTTGTTTACCACCTCAAGCTCCCAGAGCTGAGTAATGCATGCTCCCGTGACGGAGCAGGCAGGCGGAGCCTCAGTTGACAGACTTTTTCACTGCATAGCACCCACCACACAGCAACACTATATCCTGTAGTTTGTTGGGAATTTCTCTTTTTATTAGCGTATCTTTCTCTGTCGGCTGGCTCTGCATGTTTGTCTGAGTTTGCTGTGAACTGGGACTGTTAATGGCAAACTGGGAATTAATAGAGACTGGTGATTCGCTTTGTTGACGTCCGAAGGGAAAGCCAAAGGTAAAGCTGTCTGTTTGAAGGCAGCAAATCCTGCAGCTGTGTCCTTCCCATGTTGAATGCCCAGTATGCACACATTACTTCGTCTTTGCTGAAGACACTTTAGCTCGCCTGAGGAGACACGTTAGCTCTGCGTTAGCCTGCTTGCTAACAGCTGCAGCTTGGTGACTGAGTTGCTACCTTGGGGCAGCAGTAGCTCAGGTGGTAGAGCGGGTTGCCTCATGATCGGAGGGTCATGGGTTCGATTCCAGCTCCCGCCAGGGGTATCCTGCCGTTGCGTCCTTGGGCAAGACACTTCACCCAACTTGCCTGTGTTAGTGGTGGTCAGAGGGGCCGACGGCGCCAAATGGCAGCCTCGCCTCTGTCAGACCTCCCCAGGGCGGCTGTGGCTACAAGTAGCTTACCATCACTAGCAGTGTGTGAATGTGAGAGTGTGTGAATGCGTCTTTGGGTGTCTAGAAAAGCACTATATAAGTTCAATGCATTATTATTATTATTATTACCTGCACATTATGTGACGTTACTGTGTTGTTTTCCTACAAGAAACCAAGAATATTGATGTAGAGGAACTTATTGAAGTTAAAACTATGCCATTGTTATTTCATTTGAAAATCTCTATCATTAAATCTCTATATTAAAAAGTCTTGTTTGATGTTTTAAAAGGTTAAATTTCCCGATCCTTTTAAAATCACATGATGTTTGATTACAATTGTAAATTTAAAATTTCAAACTAATGGGAATATTTAGAATAGACTTTGGTGAGAAATATTGATGAAAAAGGACACGCTTGTGACCACGATAGAGAGAATTTTATTGTAAACAAGTAAAAATATGACACACTGTGGCTTTAAAATTAAAGCAGCTTAAGAGCAGCTAGCTGAATCTTCACTCAGGATGTTTAAACTTCCTTCCCTGTATTCAGAAAGGGAATGAAAACAGCAGTGGTCTCTGAGTGACCCTGAATTCTAACTCGGTACCAAAAAAATAACATTTTCTGTTCTGTGTGGTTTTGGTAGTAAAATAATACAAAATCATTTTCTTTTAAGCATCACCGTTATTCAACATCACTAAGCTAACCCTATTAGCCTACGAGCTACGATCCTGTTGTTAGAAATTTACATTTTATAACTTAAACGTCATTTTAGTACAAATTTGAATCATTCAAATATTAAAAATGACCCTAAATCCAAATGAGAAACTAGAGTTTTGTACATAACTGACAACTTAGTAAAACAACTCATAAATTATGTCTTTAGATGTTTGTCACCTGCAATTTTTTTCAAGAACATAATTTGTTTTGCATTGTGATTCTTTTCAGCCATTCTGAAGACAAAACAGCTGTTAAAGCATTCTGTTTTACATTAAATGATACGATCCTGGAGGGCCAGTATCCAGCACGTTTTAGTGGTTTCTCTGCTCCAACACAATTGATTCAGTGGTTGAATCACCTGTGCAGCAGCTCATCAGGCTCTGCAGAAGCCTGTTAATTACCTGCTGATTGAAATCAGGTGTGTTGAAACTGCGTTAAAACTAAAATGTGCTGGATACTGGTCCCCAGGCCTGGATTTGAATGCCCCTGATCTACAGCATCTCCTGGGATTTTCTTTGGAGGAATTTGCTCCTAAAAATAAACTCATGTATTTATAAACAAGTAGAAAGACAAATGGAAACAAGGGAAGTTCATCTAAACAGTTCAAGAGCTCCTAAAACACTGGAAAAGTGTCTCACCGGGTCCTTTGGCTCCTCCTCGCAAAATGCGCCCAAGACGAAAGATAATAGCTCGCTCATATTCCTTCACAATCTGTAGGGAGGTACAACAATGTCTTTTGTTTACCAGAATTAAAAAACAAACAGCTGACAGTTGTGGAAAACTGAGTTCCTTTTCTCAGTTTTAGGATATTTTGGCTCATATAATATAATAAAAAATAAAAAACACATTTACAGCCTCAGACAATCATTTAACAGTAAATAAGCTAAAATATAAAATAATGTGATAAATTAAACCAACTGTTATTGCTTTAATACTAATAAAATAGCAGCTCCTTTTATAAAAGCAGGAGTTTGTTGGTCTGCAGTAGAGCTCCACCGATATGGTTTTTCCATTGCCAGTACCGATGCCGATAGGTAAAGGTCATGGTAAGCCGATGGTCGATTTGTGCTACTGATATTTAGGGCTGATTTTCATAGTCGAGAACTAGACTCTCTCCATTTTCTTTTCATGCTAAAATGTCACTCATAACTTCCACTGATGCACAAAATGTCAGAAGCTGAATCAGTTTTCAAACACTAAATTTAACTAAAATAAATCTAAATTTTGTGCACTGGTCAGTGTTCAAATCAGACATCTAACTAAAGTTGATCAAACAAATCAGTAAACTGACCAAGTATTAAGGGCTCGACACACGGGAGGCGACATCGCCTCTCCTACATTCATTTTCAATGAGACATCGCAGGTCTGCCCTCCTGCTATGCAACAAGCGAAAAATGTGCATGTGAAATTTGCGCTCGTGCATGCGTCGTGCACAGGTGAGCCAGCAATGCGCTTCCAGAAAGTTGAGAAAATTTTACAACATTTCTACAAAAGAATACAGAGATCTTCACAAAAAGGCAGCGGCATGATGAGTTGGTTGTTGGCGTTGTCTCATGTTCACCGTTTCTTTTTCTGTTTGTAATATGGGATGAACCCATTCACCTATGTTTATTTTTTTATAGTAGGAAGTGAGACTTCACTTAACTCTAGCAAAACCTTGTGAGACTTCATATCCACTGCTTTTTCAACTCTGAACTGCTTTGATAACCTAACATTCCCTTCAATCTGACTGCCAATCAAAACAACAGAAGATTCGCTAGTCACCCTGGCTTTTGCCGCTGCTGCATGTTGCCTCCCGTGTGTCAGGTTATCAGAGCGATAGCAAAATGTTTCTCTGATCGCAGTCGTTTGTCGCCTCCCGAGTGTTGATCCCATTACATATTCAAAGCTGTTATATAAAAAGAATTTTTAGTTGATGCTTAGCACTCTCGTTTCATCCGGCATTGCGGGTCTCCGGTTTCTAGCAGAAGTGTCTTAGGGAAGATACCCCAGGGGAGGGTTGAGTGTTCTGTTACCATTTGCACTCAAAACCTGGCTTGTTCTGTAAATTCGTTATAACAGCTTTAATACTAATAATGAATACAATGTTGCTCATCTGAGGCTCTATTTTTCAAAATAAATAAATGTCATAAAATAAGTATTTCTTGTCTTAATGCGCAAGTCCATGAAACTGAAAGCGTAACTATTGTTGTACTCGGACCAAAACTGTGGATGAGTCTACTGGTAGTACTTCACAAAAAACTCAGTGGGAAGTCGGGCTGCACAATATATCGTAAATATATCGTTATCGCGATATCAGCATGCACAATATGCATATCGCAAAGAACAGATAAATATCGTAATGAATGGTCAGCTCAAATGTTTGCTACACATTATGCATTCTGTCAATCAAACGAAAGTATTACATTTTTTTTAACAAATCAAATAGAGCTCTTCACCCATTTGGCCAATTGGATGGGTTCTCATAGGTTAGAGTCCCGCCCCCAAGGCGGACAGCCCGTAATTTTGATGGTTATCAAACACCTGAGTTAGCTTAGTTCTGGTCTTTCTGCTGATTCTAATTTTCCCCGGATCCACTGATTGCCTTTTCTTGTTTATTTTCTTTTTCCCTTTCCTTTTCACATCTTTTGCTTTTCTCATTTTTATTACTTATTTTTATTTCTTTGTTTTTGATAATTTTAGTTCCTAAGTTAAGTTTTTATTTATCGCAAGTAATATAGTCATCGCAATATTAATCACTGTTATCGAATATCGCAGGTTTTCCTAATATCATGCAGCCCTAGTGGGAAGTATTTACTGATTCCATAATATTCTTGTTGTTTATAAACATGAATCAGCCAACCTTAATGCACATCCATATGGAGAGAGGCAGCGTGAGAATCATCAGCATGATAGACAGCATAACCAGCATCCACCCACACAAGCCGATGTCCGAGTCTGCACTCTCCAAAGCTAGGGGGACACAAACCATATTCATGCATCAAAATAAAAACAACATTTTAGTCATCCGGCTTGGACAATTTTCTTTCACTCTACTGATGCAGAAGCTTCCATCTGTAATCCAGTCATGCAGCAGCTGCTTTTGATTATTGCTAAACAATTCTTTGTATCTTAATCAGGGTTAAAGTAAAAAAAACCAAGTGTTACTGTTTTTCTCTGGAGCTCTCGGGTTAATCTACTTTCAGGCAGGAAAATATATTAATGAAAAAAAACAATACAACAAATCAGCGGTTGATATTCATACCTTCAATATCACGGCAACTGTACATGCCCGAACCTACAGACAAAGTTAGAAATGAAGTAACAGTTTTATTAAGCATCTTTTGGAAGATAAAAGTACAAAATGAACAGCTCCATTTTACACATTTAGCATTTTAACAGCTACATTTAGAAGCTCATGAAATTAAAAACTGGTTCTAGGTTTTATCTAGATATTTAAAACAACTTAAAAATATTAGAAATTAAAATAAAATGTTACATTTTATTATAACAATTATCGAACTTAAATCTAAATATTCAGAGCCAGGTTGAAATGTAATTACATTCACATTAAAGTGTTTAGGTTTTGAACTAAATATTTAGCAAACCTAAAAAAAGCATACAAGGTCCCCTAACAAATGCAGGGTCCAATTGATGATGAGATGGTGTGTCTTAAGATCAATGATATTTTTTTTCAATTATTTTTCCTGTCTGGGTTCTTCTTACACAACATTTAGATGTAATTTAATTTGATTCTAAATAGCTAGATATACATTGTATTTATTAATTGGAGACTAATACATTTTGATTTCACTTTGATCATATCAAAAATTCAATCGAAATATAAAGATATAACAGTTGTTTAGGTAGTCTAAGTCTCCTCCCTTTCCCTGGCTCATGGGTCCATGGAAGAACGAAAAAATGAATCCAAGTCAAAGGGGCTAAAAGAGCTACTTTCTAATCTGCTTTGCATTATTCCCTGGATCTCACATATGTTCTTCAATTTGAGGAAGAAAATGAAAAGTAGTGATGTGTGTTTCGACCACACCAGTGACTTACTGGTAAAAGTTTGTAATTACCATATGACAAGAGTTATGGTGGTTCTTTCCTCCTGAAAAAAGGATTCAAACTAGAGATGTACCGATTTGATATTATGGGCCAACACAGATACCCGTTATTAACATTGTTGTTATGGCCGATAACTGATATTTGCTGATAACGCTAAATATATAAACGTTGACATTTATGCTTCTGAAATAAGCACACCGTGTATGCGCGCGCACACCAACACAGAGATAGATGGATGGGTTGACAGATATTTGCTCATTGCTTGAATTACATTTTAAAATCATGACTGGAAGCTGAATGTGGTCAAATATTGCTGTAAATTTTGTGATGTTTAATGTATTTTTTTGATGTAAAACATTACGCCCCATAGAGTTTGGGATCAAATAAACGACAGTTATTGACGATGTAATTGATAAAGTCGGAGGCGGCCATTAGTGGCCAAAGCCACGTCTTGACGTCACTAACGTAATCAATACCGATTAGCATGGGGCGTATCCGTCGATGGGTGTATCAAGCTAACTCCGCCTCAGAGTTAACGGTTACCCCTTTTCTCCCAGTTTGTAGTAAACGATGCTCCCAAACAACATTATACTTCAGTAAAAAACGGACATAGAATACATTACCTAGATATAAACTCCTCGAAAACATTTAGTAATAAAGCCAACGCTTTTCAAAGCAAATCAATCGTTCGATTTTCAACGTTTTGCAAAGAAAACCAAAAAAAAAAAAGACGTAACCGTTACGTCTGTTATAAGAAGTTAACAACTCTCAGCGTTTACTTTAGTTAGCTAAAACCACCATTTATTGCGATGCTTACAACGTAAAAGGATAAAATATTCGGCTTGTTCGCCTCAATCAAAAAATAAAAACATTCACACGCAGCCTTTTGTGGCTTCGCTAGCCGAGGTAATGATTTCTCCAAGAAACCAGACACTTCTCCGAAAAAAAACAGAGGAAAATCGCTCCTACCAGACGGCCGTTCTCGTTTTTTGGATTCTGTCATCGCACAAGCTTCGTTGTCGGTTTCCATAGTCCAGCAAGTTAAACAATATCCAGTAAATCAAATAACAGTATGCGTGCTGCAGAACAGACTCATTGCAAACAGTTCACCCCGAAATCTGTTTTGCGGGCGTGATGACGCAGCACGCAGTTTAATTTGGAAGAAGTGGGTGTGTATGTATGGTAGGCTATTAGAGCATTTATTGACCATGACTCTGTTCTATTTTTTTATGTCAGTAACAAGTTTCCACATTTGTATTAAATAAAAGGTACAACTGAACACAAACGTAGCAGCAGATCTGCGAGGGGAGCAAAGAGAGGTTAGACTGAATGCATAATTAAAGCCATGGGTAGGGCATACTGGTCCTTCGAGGACTGCAGTCCTGCATGTTTTAGTTGTTTCCCTGCTCCACCACTCCTGATTCAGTGGCGTAAAAACATGTTCAGCTCTACAGAAGCTTATTAATCACACGCTGGTTAAAATCAGGTGAGTCGATGCAGGATAGAAAACCGTGCAGTAGAGCAGTTCTTGAAGGACCAGGATTCCCCACTACCTAACCCTAGACAATCAGGTCCTCGGGTGTTCCACATTGCTCTAATCACCCATGTGGAATGTCCTGATCAGCCACAAAATGACCAATAGGGTCGTAACAAGTGTCTGAAATTGTCACCGAATATTTGTATTGAACGGTCTTTCATCATCCTACCTGTCTGACCTGCTCACACCGTACGTTCCAGTCCTCTGGTTCCAGTGCACTCACTGAAATCAGCTAACCGCTTGCTACTTCGCACTCCAGCCATGAAGCAAGGGTGGAGAGGGCCTTTGTGTATGTTGCCCCCATCCTCTGGAATGCACTTCCCATCACAATTTGACAGTCATCATCTGTTGCTGTCTTCAAGACACGATTGAAGACCCACTTCTATGATTTGGCTTTTGAACAGTGACTCTTTTCAATGTTTCTTTTTCCTTTCTTAAAATTTTTTATTAGTTGTTTTTATCTATTTTTAATTGATTGTTTTATGATTGTTGCCTGTGCAAAGCTTTGGTCAGCTTGTATTTGTTTTGAAATGTGCTTTATAAATAAAGTGGAAATGGAAGGAAATTATTATTAATTTTCTTAATGAGATTTTTGACTATAGTCATGTGTTCCCAGATATTCAACTGCTTTGCTGCATATTAGTGTTGTTGCCTCGCAGGAAAAAGTTGGCAATTTGAATCCTGGTGGCAGCTTGTCTGCATGGAGTTAGCATGTTCTCTTCATGCGCGTGTGGGGTATGTCCAGCTACTCCGGTTTCCCCCACAGACAGACACATGCATGTTGGAGTTGACTGGTGACTAAATTTTACCCAGGTGTGCATGAGTGCATTCATATGCAGCTGGAAACATTGTTATTGCCAGATAGGATGAATGTGCTTCTTGATGTGTAGACTGGAAAACCCAACATGTATTAAAGGGGACATATTATGCAAAACTCACTGTTGCATCCTGTTGTGCTGATATTTGGGACTCTACTGCCCCTATAAACACTCCACAGGTGGGGGAAAAAATCCACACGCCTCTTTTCTGTCAGTGTTTGTTTTTAGAAATTAAGTGCCTAAAACAAGCCGTTTCAAAAAAGCTTCAGGAAAATTGAACCATCTCTCATGTGCAAGAGGCAGCTGCTGCTAGAGGAGCTGCGGCTCTATTCTAAGCCCCTGCTGCCTTTTGGACCTTTTCAGCTCATGGCAGCCTGAGTGGAAGATGGATGGGTGCAGCCAGCTTCAGCTTGTTTTCAAGTGACAGAGCCCTGAAACAGCTCAACCTGTAAGACACTAAAAATGTAAAGAATAAAATTGAGATTTTGTGCAAAAACTTTTTGTTTTGTATCAACCATAGAACTGTTATGGGGAAAAATGTCACAATATACTCGCTATAATAAAGTGATGTGATTTTTTTTTCAAGAATAATGTCTGAGACATTTAAAATGTTCCTTGTAAACATTCTGAAACATTAAATTGATTGTTTTGACAAAAGAAAATGAAGTTATGGTTATCTGCTTTGTGCTTGTCTAACTATTACGTGATGCATTTGCATGGATCATCCAGCCAGGGCTCACATGACCACATGTATGGTTACAGTTTTAAAAAGTTCATTTTATGCTTACGCTACAAGATGAATACAGGAAAATATTGTTATGGCTGAAATCTGCATAACCATCTCATTATTTGCCTCCTAAATCCCAAAATTAAATCTAATCTTACATTTCAAATGTGAATTCATTCTGTTAATGGCATCAGAAATCTGCCATTTACTGAAAAGTGTGAACATTTATTATTTTAACCAAACTGGAATCCTCTTGTGATCACCCCAACACCCTGTGATGTCACTATATACAAACAGGGCCTGTTTATTTATACCAACAGGCCTCTGTGTCTGAAGTCCTGATTTGAGCCTGACAGCTGCAGCTAAATTAACCAGCACTTTAAAAGTAGTCATCTTAGCAGCTATGATTACTTCAGTTTGTAAAGGGTATGCGCTTTCACTGTGATGAGCTGCAACCATTGTTGACTATCTGCATCTATATATTTATTATTGATCTCCTGCTGTATAATTCCTCTGCACTGATTTGAAAGTTTATGTTTGTAATTTCTTAGAGTGATAGATCAGGATGACACCTTTATAACTGTACCTGTTTTCCCAAAATCTCATTGATCTACAGTATATGAGGAATGCATTTGGAGTTTTTGTATATTGTGTCCACATTCCACTGTACTGCTACTATAAGTCAGAACACTTTTTTCCAGTTGAGTCTTATCTTTGAGACGTAATCTGCGTGATTATTTTTATTTTATTGTCCCTAAAGGAACAAAAATTGTAACAGAGCTGCAAACAGAACGGTAGTAAGGATGGACATTGAAGCATTTAATGAGATGCATGTAAATTAAAGCTGAAAGCTATAATTGTTCTGCTTCTTGTTTTGGGCTAACAGAGTCAGGGTGAACAGGAAGTCCAGGTTTGAAACAGACACATGTCCTTTCAGATGAGTAAGCCTGCATAGAGGAAGACTTGTATGTGCACATGCATAGTTGGTCACACATTGGTTTGTGTGCGGAAAGCTCTTTGTGGGATGCATTAGGCTAATCATCTTTCATTTGTACCACACATTTCCTTTCTGTACAGCTCTCACAAGCAGGAAATGGATGGATAGGAAATTGCATCGTCATAATGACAATAATAATACCACTGATTTCCACCAAGGGACTTTCTACTCTCGAACATGACAAGACTGACAGTAAAAACAAAAAATAAAAACATAGTTAACATTTCCATGATCTTTGACTTGTTTTTGCACAAAAACATAAATCCAAACCAAACTGTGTTTTTGCTTCACTGCTGCTGAGCATCGGAGTTGTCATGGCAACCCCTGTCACTAAGGAGGCAACAGAAAGAGGCCATCTAGTCCAAATTAATTGAGGGTTCTGTTGATGGTGATCATGTGACTTCCAACTAGTTATTGACAGGGCTGATGGCCAGTGCGGGATTCTCCTCCAGCTCCTTAGGAATCTAAAGCACTGCTAGTCTCACTTGGGAACGGCTAAGGTCAAAAGTCGTGATTAAAAATCTCCATGTCTTTTGTGAAAATGGGACTGACGAGACAAAAGCTAAAACCTTTTGGAAGGTATTTCCTGTTAAATCTGGAGTAAAACAGTCACTGCAGACCAACAATGGAACATTAATCCATCGTAAAGCCAGGCTGGTCGGGACAGCTCTTCTCTCATAATAAACTTAATCATTTAGAAACAGCATTTTGCATTTACTCGGGGGTATGTTGGTCTGATATTGGAATTTATCTGCCGATCTGAAACATTTAATAAATTAAAACAAAGGTTAACTTTCAGTTACTGTTAAAAGTGAATGAAGTGGTCACATTTGAGTACAGTATAAGCCTGTTTTGTGATAATTTCAGGGTAAAACTCTTACTTATTGGACCCCAGTTAGCTTAGCTCTGTAGGAATATTCTCCTACAAACTAGTTTTTAACAAACACCAGCAGCAAAATTCATTTTGTGACTTTTATTAAGAAAACAAAAACATTGGACATGATAAAAACCAAGCACTACTGATGGAATAAATAAGTCAAACCAAACCATAAATCTGTACAAGATCTAAAGAAAAAAAAATGGTCCCAAGGAAAAAAATAAACATACAAGATTTTTTTTAAATCTCACAACACTTTTTCTCATTTTTCTTTCTTTTTTTACACACAGTTATGAGCAAACTATAAGGAATTGGCTCAATCACGTGAAAGCTACAACATAAGTGAGATCTTTTAAAACTGAGTGTACATAATGCTGTTTACAACTGTTAATGTCAATACAATAGCATTTTAAGTTCCAGCTCTGCTGGACTGGGAATGAGGTATATGCTAATCCATCCTCTGACCTCTTTTCTTTCCATCCACGCGAGTGCTGATTTGCTGAAATCGGATCAAGTAGTCCTGTGTTGTGATGTATAGCCCCGTCATGTTATGAAGTCATTGGTTTTGCAGTGATTCAATTGGTCTGAATTCATGTTTCACAAGTCGACTGATAAAAGAAAACCTGACCGGGTGAGGTTTTTACATCAGAGGTCTTCGGTCTGAATCCAAACTTTATAGTTCAAGTAGATTGCACGTTTCTGCACACAACCAGGAGCGCCATGCTGCAGGTGTATGGATTCAGCCAACAGACAGCACCTTGAAGGAGGATTGGAACCAAATATTTGAGCTAAAAGAGTGGACCCTTCAGAGGTGAGCATCACCAACATGTGGAGGTCAAAGATAAGTAGTGATACACCAAATGACTACAGAGCGGGGTTACATACGAACCAGATCTGGCAGGAAAAAAAACTGTCCAAGAAACAGAAATAGTCTTTTTCTACTTTGGACCTGGTGAAGCAGAACCAGAACAGTTCTGATAGACGTGGTTTGCAGGTGGTTAAAAACAAAAGACTAAACTTCACAAACTACTGGGTGGTGTACAAATTCCAGTCTTTAACTGATTTAAAGAAACAGAATGCTCACTTGCCTTCTTGTTGACAGCAGAGTAAGAGGACCGATACCAGAAACAGAAACGCCTTTTAAGGTTTTCTGTTTCTTACATCTTTTATGGTTCTCTGAGTGAATGCGTTTGGTTTCCACCAATACGTGTTTCCCTCCAAAAACTAATTGATTACTTTGCAATTTTCTAGAAGCTAAAATACAAGTCAGTTAATTGTGGTGTCGGTTTCATCAAATCAAGTAAAAAAACATTTTGGGAGTTGGAAGAATTTCAAGATTTTGTAATCAGCTTGATTTACGGATTTCTTCGTGTCCTTACTCACTGGCTGCACAGATCTTGAGTAGCAGGTATAAATGGTAATAACAGTGATTTTACTTCATCAGCTGCATAAAATGAAGCCCTCTGGCTGTTAAAGATCTTGTGGTTGACTCTAATGGGCCATACCCATCTGTACCGGGTCGGCCCGGGCCGGGTAGCGTAGGTTGTTTACATATCTGGGTGGCCTGGTGTTTTTCCGGGCCAACCAAGGCTCATTCTCAGCCCTCTTCTCGAGGGGGTCTGCTTCAGGCCGACCAGGGCCAACACGCCCACTGCTGACAGCAAATTCACACCTTCCATTAGAGCAAGCCTCTGATTGGTGGGTAGAATCAGCCCACATGGGCTTAAGGCAAGGATGTGTGGAATCAACCGGGCCAGACTGGGGCCGACTGGGGCTACCGGCCCGGGCCGACCCGGTACAGATGGGAATGGCCCATATCATCCACTTTGTGTCCTATTTTGTTTTTGGTCACACCATACCCACTAACTACAGAAGCTCTAAAAGGCAAAGGGTCCATGATTCCTCTTGATTGCATGATGTAAAAGGATGTGAAAACACTTTTCAAAAGAAACAAGTGTGTGGATGTTTATGTCCTCATTTGGTAAAATATAAAAATTCATGACAAAAAAAATCTTGTTTCCCCCTTTTTTTTTTTTGCTTTTCAGAGCTTCTGTAGAAAAATGATAGTTTAGAACTTCTGGTCCATGTGAGCAAATTCAGGAGGAGACCGTTTTCAGGCTAGTGGTCTTTCTCTCTTTTTAGCATAATGCTAAGCTAACACTATAATCAGATTTGATGTAACAGTGGTATCAGACTTCTTTATCTACGGTCAGCAAGAAAGCACATTTTTATAAAACAGAAATCCAAACGGTTGTAGCTGAGTATAAACATCAGAGAAAACCCATTAGTGACAACTCTAAGGCAAAAAAAAAAACAAAAACATGGCACCAAAACATTAAGTCCAAACCTGCTTGAACTAAACTTGTATCAATGGTAACACAAAGGCACACCTCCAGGACACCTGCTAGCCACGCCCATCCTCGCTACATTTATCTGCACATGTACCGTCGCCTTCTTCTATGGACCACAAGCTAATTCACTTTAGAAACACATGAATGGAGAACCTTTATGAATTGAGAAAAAAGACATCCACTACAGCAGCAAATCTATCTCTGTGATCGATTGTGACATACCATAACAGTGCATTGACCCTCCTGAGGAAAAAATAAAAATAAAAAAAACATTTCCTAAACAAACAGAGAACATTAGTCTAACAGGAGGCAGATGGGGAGGATTGAAGTGACTGGGCCTTAGGGTGGAGGTCCCCCCCCCCCCCCGCAGCTGCTGATCTGAGACCAGGTTAGCCCCACCAGTTATCCTGAGCTAAACCACTAGCAGTAAAACAATTAAAGAGCAGTCTCAGAGCAGCGTTCGCGATCGACCTCGTCCTAATCCCAGACCCACTGTTTTCACTCACAGAAGCAGGTCAGTGCTGAGTTGACAGCGCCTCCTGTGGTCACAAAGGGGACCGCAGCCTGGGGTCGGCATTTCTCTTGGCAAAGTAATGTGGAGGACTGTAAGGAAGCACGGAGGGGGAGCAGTGAACAGAGGTAATATCCATCCTCCCTCGGTGGCGGGGTAGAGTACAGGGAGAGAGACGGCCATTCTCTCGTTGGTCTTGTGAGTTTGGGAAGAGAAAAATTGGCAGAAGAATAAAAAATAATAATAAAAAGGGAGTGAGGAGAGCCGGTGTGTCCATTAGCCCTAAATCACCTAGAGTTAATGGAAGGAGGTACAGAGAGAGGGACACAGGAGGATGAGGAGAGAAATGACTCAGCCCAAAATCTTTAGCTCTCCTCAAAGTCCTGAGATGAGGACTCCAGTTTGCTTTTCTTACTGGGCGGGGCCTCCTCCTGTAGGTCCTAGGAGCCAGACAAGAGAAACAAAGTGTGAGATTTTCACCAGAATCCATAACTAAAACATCCTTCTCTTTAAGCGGCTGCATGGTGGAATCAAGATGAGTAACTCCATTTAATTTAATCTGTGTGCTAAACACACAGCTGCTGGAGTCCGGTAAGCTCCAAAAACATGTAAATGTACTTTACATGTGTGCAGAAATATCAGTTATGCTGCTGAGAATGTTAACACTGATGAACGTGTTTTTAAAATGTGCAAAGATCTGCTAAAACAAGACTTCTCTCCCATCCCCAAATCACTTCACTGTCCATTCCTGTTCTCATCTCGGTGGTAACCCAGAAAACTAAACAAATGAGTCCTATAAGGACAGAGTGAGCTGCCCGACTCGTTAGCTGCCAAAGAAAGAATTTGTTCTGTCAGTCGGTCTCAATTCAAAATGTACTCCTCAGGTGAGAAAAGAAACAGTAAAAAAAAACATGTCCAGTTTACTTTGACTCACATCGCTAGCATCACAGATGTTTTTGTTTTATTTTGATCGACGCGTTACTGACCATTAGAATTTATTAATGCATGTTAACCTTAAGAGCCCCAAATACTAATAGATAAGATAATTCACAAAAATATTCTCAAAAGACAAATGGTCAAAGTTTGCTTTTTACGAGTTTATGAAAGTTTTAAATGGAGGATGCAGTTTTAAATAGGCTCAGTACAGAAGTGTAGCTGATGACCCAATCAACCTTTATTTCTGCTGTTCGTGCCATTCTTTTGCTCGTTAGATGTCAGCAGCGCTGTTAGAGACGGTCTATCATTGGACTGAATTAATTAGGTTCAGTAATATTACACACACAGCAGTAATCTGTCAAAAGGGACGAGCATCAATGTCACATTGTAAATGCCTCGAGGACTATATGTCTTTGGTGCGTCTCTATAAAAATTTCAGTTCAGTTCTGCTGAGAATCGCATCTCAACTCTGGATGAGGATGTGGAGTAGGGCAAGATGGAAGCGATGGTTGTATCAAGTTTATCCTACTCTTTCTAAAGACACGTTTTACACACAAGTGAATTTACTACTCATATTTGTCATTTACCCCCATCCCTTGTTCCTAGAAAGCAGAGTTAAACAGATGAAACTGGCCCCGCCCACATGGTCCCTGCTCCTCTCAGGTGGTCACAGACGTGTTTGTACCTGAGTGGCTTTGCTGTTAGAAGAATCCTTCTCTCCTGAGGACATGCTGTCTCTCTTGGTGCTTGGTGCCCTCTCTGAGGTCTCTGATAAAGAAATGTTCTTACCTGGAATTTAACACAGCAACAAATCAGTCTGACTCATTTAGGCTCTCTAGTGGCACTGTGTGGTTGTGTGGAGTAACTGCACAGTTGGATTAACGGAGCCACAATATGACCGGTCTTTTTCCATGTACAAAAATTAAGAAAATCTAATTAAATGTAATAAATGTTGCCATACAACCAAAATCAGATTCTTACAGAGCCTGCCAGGTACCACATATTAAAAACCAAGCTGTAGAAATCTGTCCTCTTTGTTTAAGAAAGCATACAAACATCTGCTCAGACATCATTCTGTTTGACAGCACGCTACAGATCTATGTTCAGTAAAATTGGGACCAGTTGGAACTTCCAGGATTTATGAATCGTAAACATAAGCATCAAAACTCTGTAAAACTACATATAAACTAAATCCTAGTCAAACAAGCCATGTTACAAGCCAGATAAGTGCTTTGAAACTGTCAATAAATAATGACAAAGAAATGACCAAACTTTATGTAAACTTTACGTTTCCTATTAAAGTGGAAACACAGACTACACTAAAGGTGGTATTAACTTTCACAGCCAGACGGTCCCTAAAGCCTTGTTTCACTTCTGGTGTTTGTCTCCCTTCATAGGGAGCCTAAGTCACGCCTATCTACTTCTGGATCATGGGTCCCCGGAAGAACAAAAAAACGAATGCAAGTCAATGGGGCTAAAAACGCTATTTTCTAATCTACTTGTTTTGTGCCATGGATTTCACATATGATGTCTGTGAATTTTAAAGACACATTCTGATACCAAAAACGCGCTTATTTTTGAACAGGGAGAAATGCTATTTTAGATTTGGTGTGAAAATAAGTCCAGGACTACAAATGCACTTCACAAAAGTGACATCATCGAACCAGACATGGAGAAAACTGAGGGAAAAGGGCTGTAAGTTCAGCAAAATTCCCACAGGAGGAAAGAACCACCATAAATCTGGCCATTTGGTACGTAGAAGCTACTTAGGGGAGAGGAGATTATGTGGTGACGTCACATATGCGACGTGCCGATTGCTGGAGTGTGGTCATGCTAATTATGAACTTTTACAAACTGATAAATCTCAAAGTACGTGACCGGGGTGGTTGAAACACCCATTGTTACTTTTCATTTAAGTTGCAGTACAACATATGTGCGATCCAGGACGTAAGGCGAAGCAATTGGAAAAAAGCGTTTTTAGCCCCGTTGACTTGCATTCATTTGTTTGGTCTTCCGGGGACCCATGAGCCGACCGGAACGGGAGGAGACTTAGGGTCCCTATCCTCCAGTAGTGGCTGTGGTTTTACTTTACACAACCTGGAAACTAAAGCCCTAACTACCGCCAACTAGTGGCTGGTTCCAGTATAAACTCTAAACTCACCTTAGTTCTAATTTTTTCCTGGGTGTTCAGATATATCACACACTACTTTTTGTTTTTTTCTGTTTCCAACACGTTTAGCTGCATATAAATATTATATGGCATAAAACTCGTGTTTGGGTGAGTGGATGGACCTGCATCATAAGACTCTGATTCTTAAGTCTCAACGTGGCAGCTGCAGTAAACAAGCTTCACCTTCATTAACAGCAGAAGGTGGAGACATTGGATCTACACTGATATCAAGACAACACCTACCACACATAGACTTCAGTATTCCTAATCTGACGGAACAGACTTTTACAACCTGTGGTTTTATTCTGAGCTGCAGGGTTCACATATTTACCCTTCCACTCTAAATTATTTCCTGACATCTTACAGGCTGAATAACCTGTCTGATAAAACTAAACCAGCAGTCTCACTCTTTAGACAAATCAGTATTTGTTGTTTCAAACGAACAAGTAGATGATTACTATGTAAATGTTTTTCACAGATTCATTCAAACGTGTCAGGAGGAAGACCACTCTTATTTTCTGAAAGGCAGTGTTGCCAGGTTTATTTATTTAACACCAAAAGCACATTTCTTTTTTCATTAATAATTCAGGCCCACTTGTAGTTACTCTGTTTTCTCATTATCATCCATGTTTACCGCATGATAGTAACTCTGTTAGCTCTCAGTCTGTCTCACATCTGATTTTCCATCAGTTGCCACCAACACTGCATCTTTCAATTACTTATAACTATAAAACACATCATGTTGCCTTTCAATTATAAATTGATGTGATAGAAACAATTTCATTAAACTCCTAATCTATAAGATAATCATTACTAGAAGATTTAGTCACTAATTTAAGGCTATTTAAATTAAGGTCCTGTATTATGTCACTGTCATCAATCTTTTTACACAAATCAGATATTATTTTGTTAATTCGAAACCTAAAACAGATGTTAAAAATCTTATTCCCCCCTCTTCTAGTGTTCTTAATGGTTTGTTCTGCCTGGCAGAAGCTCACACTGCCCTCATGTACCTCAGGAGTGGGATGCTAGAAACGAATATTCAGCCCTACAGTGTTATTTTCTTCCAAAAATAAAATGACTGGATCCAGAGCTCTTTGTGAACAAGCATAAAGAAGAAATAAGGAGGCTAAAATACCCTACAAGAAATTTTTCTACAGTTTTAGTTAAATTAAAGATAAACAAAATGCCTTCAAACCTCTAAGTGTACATACCTATATGCAGAAATACCTACAGACAAAGATCCTCTATGGTAAACAAAGTGTCATTTTTACCTGACATTTAACTGTTTTTTGTCTTAATGTTTTTGATTTTAATAACAATTATTTTGGTTTGATTTCAAATGCTGAATGTTTATTTATGGGAGAAAGAGGAATGTTTGAATGTAAAGAATGCAGTGTGAGATGGTTTTGAGGAGCATTTTTGCCATATTGCTTGAAATGCTTTTCAAATATTGATGGCAACCAATAAATTAAATGTATTGTCAAAAAATGAATATTTTAAATTGTTTTTGAAATGTACAATCCTGAAAAAACAAACAAACAAACAAGTATATTCAATCATTGTGAACATGTCATTCCTGATCATATAACCCTCCCCCCTCTGAACAGGCTTGGAGCAGCCACACAGGAAGTGAAGCCATAACCGGGCTGCCAAGAGTAACGGACTGAATATTTGGATTTTTTTTTTTGTGTGTTTGCAAATTTCATTGAAGGTGTTGTTTTACATGTTCTGTTTAAAGTCTGGTTCTGTTGGGAAATGTTTAAGTGATGGACCTGCTGTCTGAGAAGGCAGCTCACCCTCAGCTCACTCGGCTGGTAAATGCAATGAATTAGGAGATCGTTTTGCGGCGCTGCTATGCCTAAAGCAAGGAGCAAACCAGGAAAGCTTCTGCAGCTCACACTGACAACGAGGTGCGAAAGACCGGAAAAAGCTACAAACACACCGATTCATCCTGATGTAACAAGTGAGTCGGCTCTTTGTTTTGGTAGTTTTGGTGTTTACATGGTCACAAAGCACAATATTCTGTGACTATAAAAACAATATAAAACAGTAAAAGTGCTCAAAAACTTTGGCAGTCAGGAGCTTTCTGATCAGATAACGGCTGCCAATGAGTTAAAATAGTTTTTTTAATGTTGCTTAAACAGCTTCCAAGAAGCTACAATACCTTCATTGAAAATTTTGTTCAAAAACAAAAGAATAAAAATAGAAAATAAGTCACTGAAAAGTGTTTGTGTCTCATTAATGCCTGAGACAACTGCTAAACGACACTCAAATTTGATCAAACCAGGTTCATACGGGCTATAAAAAGTCTTAGTTCTAGTGTTTTAATCCAATTAGTGTTAGTTGTGGATTTAGTCACACAGATACATTATTTATGTCTGTTAAATGGGATTTAAATGTGGAGAAGGTTTATCATGTTGCTAGACAGAACTCTGGGAGCTGAAGGGCAACACAAAGAAAACAAGGTTGACAGTTGAAAACCCATGGGGAGTGACTGGGGCCACAGCTGTGAGATGATTTTAATTAAAGAGGAAGTGGTCATTTCATCTCTGTCTGCTTGGTGCTCATTATTGGGAGAAAGCTTGCGCTCCATCTGATCGTTTGAGCTTCACCTCCACAGAAGGATGTGTGTTGCAAGGACAGTATGGCGGGGCCTCACATTTAAACCCGTGTGTCTGACCTCTCTTGCTGTCCGGGCTCTGGTCAGTCTTGGTATCGCTGCCGTCACGGTGCGACGCAGCACTGGACTCCGGGGCGGGGCTGGTGCTACAGCTGTTTTCCTGTTTCACTGGAGACGAGTCTGCAATGGAGCTCTGGTTGCTGTTGTCATCTGGAGGAAAAAACGCACCAAATGGATTTCGAGTTCCACCCTCAGTTTAGAGACAAAAACACATTAATTTCACTGTTCAGTCCTCTACTGCTAAATCTAATATTAGTAGAATATCTGACAGCAAAAACAAATGTGACCAATTTAAAGAGCAAATTGCAGGTTAGAGACTCCCATGAACCAATGTTTAGAGAAACATAATAGAAACTCGTTTTAAACATTTTTTTTACAAATACTTAAATTATTTAGGATTTTAGAGTCATTTTTGTGAGAAAGGTTTTTTTTGTGTGCCAAAACTAGTCACGTCAGCTGAGGGAGTCCTGTTAGCTCAATCCAGAGAAAACTACGAATTCTAATGGGGCTCTGACACAGAGGAAACTTTAAATGTTTATAATTCTACTTATGATGGACCAGAACCATAAATTTATGAGTTTGCTGCACGCCCAAGAGAGCAGAGACAAACCAGAGGGAGAAACCGTCGGCCAAAGCAGAGAGATTGAGGAGAACAGCAGGTTAGCAGCAGGTGAGTTAACGATGCTAGCTTAAACTTGTGTACTAACATCACAATATTGTACAGATCACCATCATGTAGCAGACAAATAAAATAGTATCAGTCAGTTAATATTATATTAATACTAATGAGCGTCTGTCAGCTGTCTCGTACTCATTAATATCCGTTCAAGTAACATAGTTTAGTGCTTAGAAAGAGGGAGAGAGACGCCTGTGATCCGGTTCCGGAACTCGTGCAGGCTTCTGTGAGCTGGATCCGACCCAGACACCAGCGAGCCAGTTCAGCTGGTATTTTTAAAAGATATGCATGATCCTCTCCTCATGGTCCGCAGCGGTTCTGATCAGATTCCGACCCAGAAAGCTCGCTCGACTGGCCCACTGAGCCCAGTGCGGACCTCCCTGTCCCGGTACCGACCGATGTGGGCTACAGAAGTCTGTCTTTTCAGCTGCAGAAAACGCCCTCAGGCACGGAGTTGTTTCTCTTATCTGGAAACCCATGGACTCGATGTCCAGACAGGCTGGAGTTGGTACAGCCTTCACAAACGATAGTTTATCAACATGAAAACAGCCCAAAACTAGTAAACAAACACACTCACTCGATAACATGACCTCTCTACCCTAAAACTACCCACTCTCCACAGAGCAGAGGTAGCCTAGCTTCTAACTCCCTTTGGTTATGTCAGAAGTTCAGATTTAGAAAATAGAGCCTTTTTAGAGGCTTTGCTGAGAAAGGCCACTTTTTACTCCAAAAAACTCTACTATGTATTTTAAAATGAAATATCCACAATAAGCTTTTCAAATAGTATTTTTTGGACAGCATTTTATATGAATTAGAAAAAAAATTACCTGCAATTTGCTCTTTAACACTTGGGTATATTAAATTTGCTCTTTGATCAGTGAGAGGCAGATTTGGATTAATGTTTACTGACAAGCCGGAGTAACTCCTCACTTCGCATATTTGATGGAAAACCCTTGGCTTTAATTTTAAATGTCTGAGCTGGGTGACAGAAGAACCCTGGGTGTGGAAGGAGACACATGAAAACCCACCGTGCATGTCCATCATCCCCGGAGAGGAGCTGTTCTCTGGAGTCGTCAACTCTGAGCCGTATTTATCATCTTTACCTTTCTTCTTGTTTTTGTTTTTCTGCATCCCAGAGATCATAAAACCATCATTTCAACATTATAAACCGATTATGGTATGTCAATTTAAACCCCCCCATGATGCCTCAAACTAATGATTGACTCACATCGTCTGATTTGGGCTCCGTCACCGGCACCCACTTGTAGATGCGAAGAGATGTGTCTCCAACGGTTACCCATTTCTTCTCCCTAAGTGGATGAAAAAAAAATGCACCAGCTGAGCTGAGGTCAAACACCTGAACCCAGAAAACCCAGGAGCTCCAGAAGAGAGATGGGGAGGAACTCCTGAGACATTAATACCCTCACAAAATCACACAGGGACACGGTATGAATTAAAAAAGTTAGTGTTGATTTACTTATTTAAAGAAAGAGTAATTTGAGTCAGTAAATTAACAGGTCTAGGTCTGATTGTTGAATAAAATATGCATAAATTATAACTATTAGTAAATGATAACTTGAAAATAAATAGAACATATTTAATGTTTCCAGCATTACAGGATCATTGTTTTGTTTATATTTATTCTGAGACATGATATTTTTCTGTAACTTCATAATTGGGTAATAATTATTTTCTTACTAACTTTATGCCTACGAGAAAAGTTACCCTCCCATGCACCAGCATGATTCGAACCCAAACGAACCCACTGACATGATGATGTCATCTTCCAGCATCTACTTTGCTGCTATGAAAGTGATCTACGTCCATATTGTCCAGATGTCTCAGGTAGAAGCAGCAGAAATTTAATAGGTTAATATTATGACTTTTATAATTAGATTATGAAAACCAGCACTTTTGCCAGTGTAAACCAAACAAGCTGTTTAAAAATCCACACCCCTCACACTTTCTATTGGACGCTCCTATAGAGAAACCTTACATATACAAGTGTGTGTACACACACAGGTGCTCACATGGTGCTCTCGTAAGTATGGACTTGGGCACGTTCAACACAGGTCTTAAGGCTGTGGTTGGCACTAAATGCACTGTGATTTATTATCATATGATTGTTCAGTAAAACTATCTTGATTTTATGATTCTTCATCAAGTTGACGCAGTGATAGCTTTCTGCAGGTCTAGAAGCAGACCCTTGTTCATCACTGATTGTTTATTTTTGTGGACCCCCACAACACCACCATCTGCATGGTGGCACAGTGGTTAGCACTGTTGCCTCGCAGTACGAAGGTTGCAGGTTCGAAACTCGGCTGCGGCCTTTCTGCGTGGAGTTGCATGTTCTCCCCATGCATGCGTGGGTTTCCTCCGGGTACTCCGGTTTCTCCCACAGATCACAACATGCCCTATAGGTTATAAATTGTAAGTCGCTTTGGATAAAAAGCATCTCCTAAAGAAATAAACAATGAATAAACAATAAACCATCTTTTGTCTCTTGCTTTCTCTTTCACCTCTGTCTCCGCGTCTGGTTAGAATTACAAAGCATTTAAAAAACAATAACAATAAAGTTTTAAGTATCAGGCGTGGCATTAAAAGCAGAAGCTTTGGTGCTCCACCTGAGAGTAAATCTGTAAGGCTTGTTACCAGCATTCAGACATCAATTCTGTTTGCTTCACAGCCAGACAGGATACAAAAAAAAATATTTCACACTCCAAAAAATATTGATATTTTACTTTATGGTTTAATATTATTATTATTATATTTATTGTATATTTGTATGCTTTCACTCAAGTGCCAGAATCAATCCATGCTTCTACGGCAGTTTCAGGGTTAGTTGTTGTTGTTGTTGTTATTATTATTATTATTATTATTATTATTATTATTATTATTATTATTATTATTATAGCTGATTATAGAGGACTGTTAGTAACGGATAACAAGTTAATATGTTTAAACCATTTTTAAAAAGAATGAAAAGTGAAAATTATGTAGAAAACTTTTCCGCCAAGACTTATCCAAAGAGAGAAGAAGAAGAAAAGATCTTTTCTATAGCGCCTCTCAAGATAAAAATCATGAAGCACTTCACAAAAAAAAGTAAAAATATAAAAAAATTTAGAAAATGTTTTAAAATATATTTAAAATGAGCAAAAAATAGACAATTGTGATTAAAAATGTAAAAAAAAGAGAGAGAGTGAATAGGAAAGAGGGAAATCAGTGGATCCTGAGGTGGAATGTGAAGAATGTCATACAAAAGCCACTTTGAACAGGTGAGTATTCAGCTGCTTTTTAAAGGAGACCACTGAGTCCACTGATCTCAGGCTCAATGGGAGAGAGTTCCATCCAGAGTCTGGGGGGCACAGCAGCAAATGATCTGTCACCTTTGGTCTTTAGCCTGGAGCTGCACAACCAGAAGGCTTTGATCACTGGACCTCAGGGACCTGCTGGGGGTGTAGGGACTAAAAAGATCACCAATGTAAGATGGTGCTTGTCCATGTAAGGCCCTATAGACCAGAACCAGGATCTTGAAATGAACCCTGAAGTTGACTGGCAGCCAGTGAAGCTGGAGGAGAAGCGGGGTGATGTGGATGTGTTTGGAGGACTTGGTCAGAAGCGGAGCACAGGCATTCTGAACCACCTGCAGACGGTTCAGGGAGGTTCTGCTCAGACACGTGAAAAGAGAGTTACAGTAGTCTAAGCGTGAGGAAATGAAGGTGTGAATAACCCCTTCTTTCCACCGGAGCCGTCAGCAGCACGTTACTGCAGCAGCACGTCTTGCTCGCGTAAACTGCTGCTTGGCCCTTCCCACGAGATGCGAAGCAGCAGGGGAGCCGCTGTCACCGACACAGCACGAAGTCACACGAGTGACTTCGTCAGTAAACACAACAACAAGCAGGAGAAAACTACAACATGGCTCCAAAAGGTTTGTGTTTTATGTTCTGTCTGTTTTATAATCGCCAATAAGGCCTGAAAAACAAAGGAGACCGCTAGCTAGGTGATAACTTCTCACGGGCCGCACAGTTAGTAACTTTTTTTTAAAGTAAAGCAACCAGAAGGCAGTATGTTTCTTTATTCTGAAAATCTCGGGAGCTTCGCTCCGTTTCCGCGTCCGATTTCCTGTCTTTCCTTCCTCAAAAATGTCGAACTTGACCCGTTTCAGAGGCGTTGCGCGTAGAAAATAGAACCGGCGCGTAAAGGCCGCGACATGCTGCTCCTGAGACGCGGCCGACTCGCGCTGCTGACAGCTCTGGTGGAAAAGGTTCTGTTGACCACAGCGGTTCCTATCAGCAGCTATGACGTGCTGCTGCAGTAACGTGCTGCTGCAGTAACGTGCTGCTGCAGTAACGTGCTGCTGACAGCTCCGGTGGAAAGAAGGGGCAACTGTCTCAAATTCAGAGCGGGACAGAATGGGACTCAGCAATGTTCCTGAGATGGAAGAAGGAAGAGAGAACAAGAGAACTGACATGAGAATCCAGGTGAGAGCTGGGTCAAAGGTCACACCAAGGTTCCTGACGGGGGGTTTGGTGTGAGAACCAAGCTGACCAAGAGAGTCTCTGACTTTGGAAACCAGCTTGTCTGGGGCACAGATGAGGATCTCAGTCTTATCTTCATTCAGCTGAAGAAAGCTCCCGGTGTCGGTACAGGATCTGCTCGGGTGCAAGATCGGCTCGGGGTCCTTCGACTGCCGATGACGTCAAAGTACGGCAAACCCACTCGGCCAAAATGAACTACACATCTATACTGTTGGAAAGAATTTAGCAGTTTCGTTATTAAAATAACGTTTCTTAAGACGTAAGTTTGTGTTTATAATGGTATTTGTAAAATAAGACACTATATTTTATTCATAATGTTGAACTCCTCTTTGAGCACATCCCTTGAAGGATCATAGATATTAGCAACACCTGTGAAATTGTATTTGCAGGAAAGAAGTGTGTCCTGTTTATTGAAGTATTTTGTGTTTAGAGTTTTTGACGTCTTGTCCATGCGTATAGTTACGCTCATAGATGCTAGCCAAAACTCTGGAGTTAAAAGTTTTCTGGCTTTACTAAAATACCTGTCTGTACTTATTTGATTGATGGTAGTTTTACTTTCTATTAGACTCCAAATGTAATCATTTGGCACGTTTCTAATTCATAATTTGTAATAATGTAATCGGCGATATTAGCATTAGCATTCCTATGGGTTTTTCCATGTATATTAGCATTGCGCTAACCACTCGCTGCCAAATTGCAGCCTTTGCGATTAGAAAATCTCCTTTTGTCACATCGCAATTTAATTGCACATGCAGTTAATCGTTCAGCCCTAATATACATGCAGCTCTAGAGTGTATTTTCAAAGAGGTAATGATGGATTTCTTTGTAAAAGTTGTCCACCTTTCCAACAGAAAGATTTGCCTGGACCAACGTAACATGATTGCGTAATTCCGTAAGGTTCATGTTCAGCCAATCAACTACTTAGACGTCATCGGCAGTCGACGGACCCCGAGCCAATTTTGCACCCGAGCAGATCTTGTACCGACACCGGCAGGACAGACAATGCTGCTGATGGTGTTAAACAGCACCTTGGGGTTCCCTTTTGCTCTGGGACACCAGGTGGGAAAAATAAGAAACCCTAGTGTCTCTGACTGCAGAGTTAAAGGATGTCAGAAGATCCTTTAGGTGCAGCAGATGGACGTGGAGATGGGTTTTCTTCCACAAGCGCTCAGTTTTTCTGCATTGGCGCTTTAGGCTGCGAAGGCTGTCATTAAACCAGGGAGTAGGGTTCACTGCAGGAACTGATCTGGTTCTGACAGGACAGATAATGTCCAGAATGGAGAGGCAGTGCTCGTTAAACTGAGAAGTTCAGGAATCTGGGTCAGTATCAGAAGAACAGGGTGGATCAAAAGCAGCAGAAAAATTGCTAGCTGTGCTCTCATTAAGAAAACGAGAACTAACCAGATGGCGAGCAGGAGGTGGGGACGCAGAAACGGACAAGTTAAAGAAAATGCAATGGTGATCAGAAATATAAACGTCCTCAGACAAACACCGGCTACAGGATAAAAACAAGGTCCAGAGTGTGTCCCCAGGTGTGTGTGGGGCCAGAAACATGCTGGGTAAAGCTAAAGGAGTCCATGAGGCTGGCGAAATTCATGGCAAAGTGATCAAAGGGATCATCAACGTGTATGTTAAAGTTACCAACAATCACCAGTCTGGACAGCTTCACAGTGGAGGATAGAAAGTCACTAAACTCCTGAAGGAAAGATCTGTTTGGACCAGGTGGACGATAGACCACAGCACAGTAGAACGGGTCCAGAGCCACAGGGGCCATTTGTGGCCCTCACACTGATTTTGTGTGGCCCTAATATGCAATTCTAGAATGTTGGAATTTTATCTCCAGCACGCTGTTCACATTAAGTTCTTTTTTTTTTTTTTGAGTATTTGGCCTATTTTGAGTGAGAATGAAAAAAAAAACATTTAATAACTGCATCATATTTAACATAAATTGATTAATAAAAGAATGTTTGTGGGCAGAAAGGACAGTTTGGACATCCCTGTTCCAACTTCTGTTTACCTTTATTGCAAAATAAATTAATGTAAAAAGTGAAATTTTTAACATTTGCAAAGTTAGTATCCATTAACTAATAATGAACTATCAATTAAGTCTGCTTCAGATAAGAATGGGCGAAAAAAAAAATACAATTCAACAAAATTACCATTTAATGTTTAAAATAAAAATAAAATTCAATGTGCATTACTTCCGTGGATAACTGTTTAACTGAACAAAGTCACTCTTTAGATCAACCAAACGAAAATGTTTATAAATAACATCAAAAAGCCTGATAAAATAAAACAATATAAAGGTATAAACTTGAGTCTTTTGTGTTGATCTTCATCATGTTAAAAGTGAAAATATGAAAAAAGTTATGCGACAATCTAACTTTCTGGCTTTGTGTGGACTTTTGGTTAATCACCAAGCAGGCAGAGTCGCGACTCCAAACTGATAAAACTCTCATCCTGGAAACTAACGCGTGTTATCTGGAGGTTTGATGTGAACAAAATGTGATTTAGGTGTAAAAAGGCGAGCAGACTGACGTGTTCAGAGCCCAGCAGCTACTTCCCTCTCCCAACCCCCACCGAGCCTAGTTCTCTATCAGACCTAAAGGGCGACTCAAAGCGCTTAATTTAAAACTCCAGACGGACAAAACTGCTCCAACTCCAGAGCGCCGTCGTCAAATTGTTTCCAGGTCCAGACTCTTCGGTCGTTGCGCTCCGAAAACCGCCGCCTGCGCGAGCAGCTCGGCGGCAGGCAGCAATGGCTTCATGTGACTGCATCGAAATGGCTTCTGGGTTCAACCCTTTGCCGTTAAAACCAACGGAAAATCACCGGCTACATGTAGTGTGTCCCCGCGCAAGCGGAGAGGGCGAACGGTGGGGAGGCTACAGCCTGCCGAGGCGGCTCCGGTGCACCTGAGCCGCCGGTACATCTGCCGAAAAGCCCGTTCAAAAACTACCCTTTATCTCTCTATTTCATCCCTCTTTCCGTCTCGTTCTTTCCCTCTCCTCCCCCAACAAGCAAGCCTTTCTCCTGTTAGATAACGAAGCAGAGTCTTTTATCCTCTTTCTCTTACCATTTTCGTACTTTCTCAATAGCGGCCATAACCCTCTTGATGTCATCTTTCGCCCTGCTCCGTGTCTCAGCTCGGACCGACCTGCCCGACATTGCCGCGGTGGGTATAATATTTTTAAAGCTCGCCGGCAGTTCAGACACAATGCAAACAGTAGAGCGCACAGAGGAGCCAGTGCGCAAGCGCGGCCTGGTGGAACCGGGGGAGGAGGGGGAGAGAGAGAGAAAAGAGGCCGGCTGCAGCTGCACTCTGAACAGAGATGTGTTTCCCTGCTGAGACAGCAGCAGAACAAAGGCAGCGCGCTGCCTCGTATTCTGCCTCACAGAGCTGGAAGAGAAGGAGAGAAAGGAAATAACCCTCCACTCTCACCCTTCAGAGCATCTTCACAGCTTAAAGGGGTTTTGGGGAATCTTGAATTTCATTAGTTTCCTGTTAGGCCCCACACTACCAGATACAACGAGAATAAAAAAAGGAATAAAGTATTCTGTCCATGGTGACTACCTCTTTGTGTTTGTTCTCTGTGCCTCTGTGTTTTGTATTTTCAATATTTTTCTTGGAATCGCAATAACCTAGCATTCAAACCAACAGATTTGGATTTTTTAATGTACTAAATGCATTTGGGCTCCTTTGTGTGTCATAGTTATTTAATGAAAATTTTTTGCATTTGTGTTTTTAAGCTTTACAGAGTTTTCTAGTCTCCTTGTGCCATGTTTTAATGTTGTCATCAATAAGATGTTTTTTTCAGTATTGGCTTCATTCTTGTTGTGTATCTCATGTTTGAGAAATCTTTACATTTTGGATCATCCTGTCTGTTTAAAGTATGCTTGTTTTTACATCCTAGTGTTTCCCCTTTAAAATGTTTATACATAGTTTATGTCAGAGATTATTAAATAAATCAGAAAACTTAGATCTTAGTTTCATTTTATCATTCACTGTGGCAAAGTTTGAAAAAATAATTCAACTTGTCTTGAGAAAATCTAAGGGCTGCATTAGCTCGTTCTACTGTCAAATTGATTAAAAAAAGACTATGTTGCCCTCTAGTGGTGCCAGCTTTTATGGAGAATAAAAACAAACAAAAAACGAATTTATTTGACCGGAGTGGGACAAATAAATATAAAACAGGAAAATGCACAAGCTTTGCGTGGTGTTTTAAAATGTTTCGCTAATTTAAATTCCTGCTTGTTTTTTTCTGTAGGTATATTCTAATGGCAGTTTTGCTCTTTTTCGAAATGTTGTTTCTTTGATTGACTTATCTTTTGTGAGTTTTTGTACCTTCTTTAATTTGATTTATTTTATGTGCAGCAGGCACGTGTAGAGGGGGTGGGCCGGAGGGTGCTTGAGCACCTGCCCCTTTTGTCCGAAGTACCCTAAGTATCCTTTTTCCGCTCTTTCGCCAGATTTTACTGTTCAAAACTGTTATACTGTGATACGTATCAGGCACTAGGACCATGCGGAGGCAGCCGCTTCAAGCTGAAGCCCATTCTGAGCCCATTTTCCCTTAGACCCGCCTACAAGCTCACTGATTGGCTCTGCTGCACATACTAACGTGTGATTGGTTGTCCCTGCTGTCGCTCTACCTTGCAGTCATGGAGACGACAGTAAGGTTTGCGTTCATCTACCTGTAAGGTTTTTTTTTCTTCCTGCTTCACGTCAGCTGGATGGATTTTAATATCAGAGCTTTTGTTTACATGCGTTTGAGTCCGTGGTTAGTGTGTGTGGAGCAGTGGAGGTAGCTGCATGTCTGAGACAGAAAATGGGACATGAGACTTAAGTGTTGAAGAAACTCACAACAAATAATCACTCACTCTAGATTCTCCGGATCATAGCTTCTGAAGTACTAATCGAATAAAAATAATTCCAACGTTTCTAAAAGTACATATAACGAGCTTTTCAACGAGGTATTACATGATGTAATTCATGTTACTCAAAAAAATTGCTTTTAGAAGCAAACCGGTGATGGTAAAAGTGAATGTGAGCATAATTATACACATTTTATTACTTTATTATGTATTTTTTATTATTGACTATTACTCCAAAGGGTTCAAGTGAAGGCAACTGGACTTCTTTGGTTTCTTTAAAACATCTCACTTCTCATCTGAGGAGCTTTGTCCATTCTAACAGGAAAATGGGAGAGTCAAGCTTATGAGCTGTAGCTGTCTGTTGCTGTTTAACGAGCTGTAACTACTCTGGGTACCCGGCCTCTCCATATCCTGATGAGTCGTTAGCCTCTTTTGCAAGGGAGTCATGTTGATTAGACACAGGAAGGCGTGACCTAGACTGAAATTGCTTAGGAATGAGATTCACAGCTGGATTATAGGTGCTGGAAAGGTGAAACCTAAGCCCCTCCCCTATTTAAAGTGGAGTTTTCACATTTGACATAGATAGCTTCTTTTACTCCTCTCTCAAACCATCTATGTCCAGAATGTGTACTTTGTCATCTTCAAAGGTGTGTCCCTTGTCCTTCAGGTGTAGGCGGACTGTAGAGTTTGCTGAAGAGGCGGCTCTCCTGTGTTGTGCCATGCTCTTGTGTAATTGTTGTTTAGTTTCTCTAATGTAAACATCTGGACAGTGCTCCTACACTGGACTACATAAATGACCCCACTGAGCTTCTGTTGGGGTGTTTTGTCTTCTGGATGGACCAGGTTCTGTCTGAGGGTGTTGTTGGGTTAAAGTTTACCGGGATGTTGTGTTTGGAGAAGATTCTTCTAAGTTTCTCTGAGTCTCCTGCCACGAATGTGATGATGGTGCCTTTGTGTAAAGGATGTTGTTGTTAGGTTGGTAGCAGAGCTCTCATGTTTAGTGCTAAGTTCAGTGAGATCATGGAATGGGATCAAGAATTTTCTACTGACAGGAAAAAGATCTCAGCTAACATAGCTGTAGATCACACTGGATAACTTTGTGTGGTTGCATTTATTTTACTACTTCTTGCTAGAGCTGTCTTTAGTAAGCTCAAAGTCAATTTGGTTGTACACCTGTGAAATAGCAATAAATGATCTTGAATACTGTTAAATGTACTTCCTGAATGAGTGACCTTTTAAGGCTAAAATAACAAAATGACAAATACAGACAGAAGGATGACTTATTTCTTCTTTTGTAACTCATTGCATCACCACCTGGTATCAGAACAGTACTCGGTATTGGAAGATAATCAAAAATCAAACAACCTGGACTCAGATCAGAGGCAAAAATGTGGTTGTAACATCTCTAGATATAAGTCAGCTTTATAAACTAAAACAATTATTTATGAACTAACATTAACACTAATGACACTAATTGATATATTTTTATTATGTTGTTTGAACCCAAGGGTCTCATTATCTGAATTTTCTAACCTGTTGGATTGTGAATCTGTTTAAAAGTTTTGCTCTATAAGTGCCCCTTTTTTTACTTTGAGCTCCCGCCCCGTCAAAGGTCTCTGCACAGCCCTGATGTGCAGCATAGATGTAAAACAGGCCATTTTGGTTCGTTATAAATAAATGTCAGGGCCAAATTTTGTTTTTTTGGTCTGTTGTCTCTTTAGGGACATCTCGTTTCTATTTTATATTATTGTTCGACTCCTTATTTTAATGTGTATATTGTCATATTTTAGAACATTTTGCATCTATTTGCTCCATTTTGTCAAACCTTATTCACAAGTTAGTTTAATTTATTTTAGTTATTTTCATAAAACTAATTTGTAGACTCAGCTTTACATTTAAGTAATGTGCATGAAGGTAACACGAACGTCTACGTCATTTTCTTGCGACACGCAACTCGCTGCGTGAAGCTAAAAGTGTGAAAGTCTCTAGATGGTGTCAACAGAACTATTCAGACTTTGAGAGCTGTTTTCTTGCTGGCGTGTAAAAAGGTTTGGTTGAATCAAACATTTGAAACATCAGTTTTGCTTCTCTGAATTATTTGAGGCCGCAGCTTTGCGGTGTAGCGGTTCTGGTGCTGTCTAAACATCTCTAAACTGACTGATTCTTGCTAATAAAACGTCCAGAGGTTGGTTTTGAGTTGGAATAGCGGTTTTTAGGCTCCTATCTTATTTCAAAATGAATGAAGAAGGTAAGGCGTTTCATGTGAGGGATTATCTGCTCTGCTGTGGACTCGCCGATGCTAAAACTGTCCTGTCTCTGTGGTCCTGGATCAGAGCTGGTGGAGTACTTCAGGGCTCAGATGAGGAAAGACCCGGGCATGGCCTCTGCCGTTGCGGCCATCCGCACCCTGCTGGAGTTTCTCAAAAGAGACAAAGGTGTGTATGTCACCTCATATATGCCACCTCAGTATGGATGTTTTCATACTTTAATTTCAGATATACTGTCAAGCAAAGCACCATTATGTTTTTGATATTACAGATTATAATTACCACTTATTAATCATTTTAGGTTAAGAACAATTTTCTTTTCAAAAAGCAAGTATTTCTTCTTAAATTCAAACCTCCAGGTTTATTCAACATCTTTTACATTTAAGGACTTAGGCTGATTTTTCCACTCATTTTTTAAGCAGCCAAAGTTGAGATATAAACAAAAAGACCTTCAGAAAGTTTACAGAGTGGTTGATCTCTTTAAAATATTACAAGATGATTTGATTGCTTGGAAGCAAATTATAAAGAATTGAAATGTTTGCCAAATGTATGATTGGAATTTTAAAGTATTTTTATTACTTGTAGTCTTTTTGTATTTTTCTATCTATCGTCCGTCCATCCATCCATCCATCCATCCATCCATCCATCAATCTATCAATCACACACTGCTCACAAGAATTAAAGGAACAATTTTTTTATTGGGCCTGGAATGAAATCAATTAAATCCATCCATAAAGTGGCAACAATTACAAAACCCTCAAAACAGGACTGGTTTAACATGTAGAGGTCATTTCAAGTTTCTCCCTCTTGAGCTTTTTCTGCTGGTTTTCCACTCGTGCTAGTTTTGGCTCTCTACTGGCAGTATGAGGCGATTCCTTAACCCTACAGAAGTTGCACAGGTTGTCCAACTTCTCCAGCATGGCACATCCACACGTGCTGCAGTAAGAAGGTTTTAATGTGTCTCCCAGCACAATCTCCAGAACATGGAGATTTCAGGAGACTGGCGGTTATTCTGGGAGAGCTGAACAGGGCCGTAGAAGGTTCACAACCCATCAGCAGGACTGATATCTGCTCCTTTGTGCAAGGCGGAACAGTCTGAGCACTGCTCGTTCCCTACAGAATGACCTCCAGAGGGCCACTGGTGTGAATGTCTCTACCCAAACAATCAGGAACAGACTTCATGAAGATGGCCTGAGGGTCTGACGTCCTGTAGTGGGCCCTGTGCTCACTGCCCAGCACCGTAGAGCTCGACTGGCATTTGCTCATGAACACCAGAATTGGCAAGTCCGCCACTGGCACCCTGTACTTTTTTCAGACGAGAGCAGGTTCACCCTGAGCACCTGTGATAAGACGTGAAAGAGTCTGGAGAAGACAAGGAGAATGTTATGCTGCCTGCAACATCGTTCAACATGACAGGTTTTGGTGGTGGGTCAGTGATGGTCTGGGGAGGCATATCCATGGAGGGACACACAGACCTCTACTGCCTAGGAAATGGTGCTCTGACTGCCATAAGGTATCGAGATGAAGTCCTTGAACCCGTTGTCAGACCCTACGCTGATGCAGTAGGTCCTGGTTTTCTCCTACTGCACGACAAAGCCCGCCCTCATGTGGCAAGAGTATGCAGACAGCACCTGCAGGATGAAGGAATTGAAACAATTGAATGGCCTTCACGATCCCCTGACTTAAACCCAATAGAACATCTGTGGGACATTATGTTTCGGTCCATTAGGCAGCACCAGGTTGCTCCTCAGACTGTATAAGAGCTCAGGGATGCCCTCACACAGATCTGGGAGGAAATGCCACAAGACACCATCTGTTGTCTCAATAGGAGCATGCCCCGACGTTGTCAAGCATGTACACAAGCTCGTGGGGGCCACACAAGATACTGAAAAGCAATTTGAGTTGCAGAAATTAAGTTTTTGAAATAATGGACTAGCCTGCCACATCTTCATTTCACTCCGATTTTAGGGTGTCAACACAGTTGAGCTCTCTGTAGGCTGATAACTTTTATTTCCATTAAAAGACTTGGCATCCTTTTGTTCCTAAGACATTGCCCTGTCGTTATTTGTATAGATATCCAACTTCATATTGAGATCTGATCTATCTAATGTGTTTCTTTAAAGTGTTCCTTTAATTTTTGTGAGCAGTGTGAAAAACGAATTGCCCCTTCCTGATTTCTTATTCTTTTGCATGTTTGTCACACAAAATGTTTCTGATCATCAAACACATTTAACCATTAGTCAAAGATAACACAAGTAAACATAAAATGCAGTTTTGAAATGATGGTTCTTATTATTTAGGGAGAGAACAAAATCCAAACCTACATTGCCCTGTGTGAAAAAGTAATTGCCACTCACAGGTTAAAAAAATAACCCAACTGTGGTGTTTCACACCTGAGTTCAATTTCTGTAGCCACCCCCAAGCCTGATTACTGCCACACCTGTTTCAATCAAATCACTTAAATATGAGCTGCCTGACACAGAGAAGTAGACCAAAAGCACCTCAAAAGTTAGACATCATGCTAAGATCCAAAGAAATTCAAGCACAAATGAGAACAAAAGTAATTGAGATCTATCAGTCTGGTAAAGGTTATAAAGCCATTTCTAAAGCTTTGGGACTCCAGCGAACCACAGTGAGTGCCATTATCCACAAATGGCAACAACATGGAACAGTGGTGAACCTTCCCAGGAGTGGGCGGCTGACCAAAATTACCCCAAGAGCGCAGAGACAACTCATCCAAGAGGTCACAAAAGACCCCAGGACAACTTCTAAAGAACTGCAGGCCTCACTTGCCTCAGTTAAGGTCAGTGTTCACGACTCCACCATAAGAAAGAGACTGGGCAAAAATGGCCTGCATGGCAGATTTCCAAGACGCAAACCACTGTTAAGCAAAAAGAACATTAGGGCTCGTCTCAGTTTTGCTACGAAACATCTCAATGATTGCCAAGACTTTTGGGAAAATCCCTTGTGGACTGATGAGACAAAAGTTGAACTTTTTGGAAGGCAAACGTCCCGTTACATCTGGCGTAGAAGTAACGCAGCATTTCAGACAAAGAACATCATACCAACAGTAAAATATGGTGGTGATAGTGTAATAGTCTGGGGTTGTTTTGCTGCTTCAGGAACTGGAAGGCTTGTTGTGACAAATGGAACCATGAATTCTACTGTCTACCAAAACATCCTGAAGGAGAATGTCCGGTCATCTGTTTGTCAACTAAAGCTGAAGCCATCTTGGGTGCTGCAGCAGGACAATGACCCAAAACACACCAGCAAATCCACCTCTGAATGGCTGAAGAACAACAAAATGAAGACTTTGGAGTGGCCTAGTCAAAGTCCTGACCTGAATCCTATTGAGATGCTATGGCATGACCTTTAAAAGGTGGTTCATGCTAGAAAACCCTCAAATAAAGCTGAATTACAACAATTCTGCAAAGATGAGTGGGCCAAAATTCCTCCAGAGTGCTGAAAAAGACTCGTAGCAAGTTATCGCAAACGCTTGATTGCAGTTATTGCTGCTAAGGGAGACCCAACCAGTTATTAGGTTCAGGGGGCAATTACTTTTTCACACAGGGCAATGTAGGTTTGGATTTTGTTCTCTCCCTAAATAATAAAAACCATCATTTCACAACTACATTTTGTGTTTACTTGTGTTATCTTTGACTAATGGTTAAATGTGTTTGATGATCAGAAACATTTTGTGTGACAAACATGCAAAAGAATAAGAAATCAGAAAGGGGGCAAATAGTTTTTCACACCTCTGTAGATGGCCATGGGTCATTTTTATTTCTTAGTGCTGAATAGACACATTTTTGAGTAACATCCCACTTTGAATCTCTCATGTGACTTTGTCACTTTCAGAACAAAAACATGGATTTTGTCTCAGCAACGAGGCTCTAAAGCATTCGTTAATTTCTGCAAAACTCAAGTGTTGTTTTCAAACTAATAAAATAAAGGTTTCTTCTTGGATGAAAACATTTTTTTTATCTGACCGTTTTAGCTTCCTACTAGAGGGCTTCTTCATGCGCTGTCCTCTGTTGGAGCGATGAGGCCCCCTCATCTCATCTTTGTCTTGTTTCCTGAGTTTATTGCCTCCCTTATAGCGGAGATGAGGGGGCAGACACATTGCCAAGAGCTTGAGACTTGCTCCTTGAGGCAACATCTGGTGCATATGGGAGTGCCCGTCAACGTAACGCATACCAGGAATACCAGAAAAACGCAGTGTCATTGCTCCATTAGATGGCAGCTCATGAAGAAGGCCTCAAATAGGAAAGTGAAACTTTGGTGAAAGACATTCAACCCAAGATACTTGGCTGTTTAAGAAGACACCTTAAGTTTTATTAGTTGTAACAAGGCATTGTGTTCTTAAACCATCGTTTCCCTGCAGGTGAGACCATCCTGGGCTTGAGGGAGAGTCTGAAACAGGCCACAGGCTGCCTGATGGGGGAGGACTCATCCGTGGCTGTGTCGTCTGGAGGTGAACTCTTCTTGCGCTTCATCAGTCTCACCTCTCTGGAGCACCAGGTGAAGCAAAACACTTCAATGTTCAGATTATCAATCTTCTTTAAGGCAGTTATCCACCTGCTATGGATTATGGAACAAACCTTCTTGAGAGCAACAGATCTACAGTGGGGCAAATAAGTATTTAGTCAGCCACCGATTGTGCAAGTTCTCCCACTTAAAATGATGACAGAGGTCAGTAATTTACATCATAGGTACACTTCAACTGTGAGAGACAGAATGGGAAAAAATCCATGAATTCACATGGCAGGATTTTTAAAGAATTTATTTGTAAATCAGGGTGGAAAATAAGTATTTGGTCACTTCAAACAAGGAAAATCTCTGGCTCTCACAGACCTGTAACGTCTTCTTTAAGAAGCTTTTCTGTCCTCCACTCGTTACCTGTATTAATGGCACCTGTTTGAACTCATTATCTGTATAAAAGACACCTGCCCACAGCCTCAAACAGTCAGACTCCGAACTTCACTGTGGCCAAGACCAAAGAGCTTTCGAAGGACACCAGGAAAAGAATTGTAGACCTGCACCAGACTGGGAAGAGTGAATCTACAATAGGCAAGCAGCTTGGTGTGAAAAAATCAACTGTGGGAGCAATTATCAGAAAATGGAAGACATGCAAGACCACTGATAATCTCCCTCGATCTGGGGCTCCATGCAAGATCTCATCCCGTGGGGTCAAAATGATCATGAGAACGGTGAGCAAGAATCCCAGAACCACACGGGGGGACCTGGTGAATGACCTGCAGAGAGCTGGGACCACAGTAACACAGGTCACCATCAGTAACACACTACAACCGCAGGGAATCAAATCCTGCAGTGCCAGACGTGTTCCGCTGCTGAAGCCAGTGCATGTCCAGGCCCATCTGAAGTTTGCCAGAGAGCACATGGATGATACAGCAGAGGATTGGGAGAATGTCATGTGGTCAGATGAAACCAAAGTAGAACTTTTTGGTATAAACTCAACTCGTCGTGTTTGGAGGAAGAAGAATACTGAGTTGCATCCCAAGAACACCATACCTACTGTGAAGCATGGGGGTGGGAACATCATGCTTTGGGGCTGTTTTTCTGCTAAGGGGACAGGACGACTGATCCGTGTTAAGGACAGAATGAATGGGGCCATGTATCGTGAGATTCTGAGCCGAAACCTCCTTCCATCAGTGAGAGCTTTGAAGATGAAACGTGGCTGGGTCTTCCAACACGACAATGATCCCAAACACACCGCCCGGGCAACAAAGGAGTGGCTCCGTAAGAAGCATTTGAAAGTCCTGGAGTGGCCTAGCCAGTCTCCAGACCTCAACCCCATAGAAAATCTGTGGAGGGAGTTGAAAGTCCGTGTTGCTCGGCGACAGCCCCAAAACATCACTGCTCTCGAGAAGATCTGCATGGAGGAATGGGCCAAAATACCAGCTACTGTGTGTGCAAACCTGGTAGAGACCTATAGTACAGGTGCTGGCCAGTAAATTAGAATATCATCAAAAGGTTGAAAATATTTCAGTAATTCCATTCAAAACGTGAAACTTGTACATTATATTCATGCAATGCACACAGACCAATGTATTTCCAATGTTCATTACATTTAAATTTGATATTCATAAGTGACAACTAATGAAAATTCCAAATTTGGTATCTCAAAAAATTAGAATATTCTGAAAAGGCTGAATATAGAAGACACCTGCTGCCACTCTAATCAGCTGATTTACTCAAAACACCTGCAAAGGCCTTTAAAAGGTCCCTCAGTCTTGTTTTGAAGGCACCACAATCATGGGGAAGACTTCTGACTTAACAGCTGTCCAAAAGACAATCATTGACACCTTGCACAAGGAGGGCAAGACACAAAAGGTGATTGCTAAAGAAGCTGGCTGTTCGCAGAGCTCTGTGTCCAAGCACATTAACAGACAGGCGAAGGGACGGAAAAAATGTGGTAGAAAAAAGTGTACAAGCTCTAGGGATAACCGCACCCTGCAGAGAATTGTGACGACAAACCCATTCAAAAATGTGGGGGAGATCCACAAAGAGTGGACTGCAGCTGGAGTCAGCGCTTCAAGAACCACCACGAGGAGACTCATGAAAGACATGGGATTCAGGTGTCGCATTCCGTGTGTCAAGCCACTCTTGAACATGAAACAGCGCAAGAAGCGTCTCGCCTGGGCCAAGGACAAAAAGGACTGGACTGATGCTGAGTGGTCCAAAGTTATGTTTTCTGATGAAAGCAAGTTCTGCATTTCCTTTGGAAATCAAGGACCCAGAGTCTGGAGGAAGAGCGGAGAAGCACAGAATCCACGTTGCATGAGGTCCAGTGTAAAGTTTCCACCGTCAGTGATGGTGTGGGGTGCCATGTCATCTGCCGGTGTTGGCCCACTCTGTTTCCTGAGGTCCAGGGTCAATGCAGCCGTCTACCAGGAAGTTTTAGAGCACTTCATGCTTCCTGCTGCTGACCAACTTTATGGGGATGCAGACTTCACCTTTCAACAGGACTTGGCACCTGCACACAGTGCCAAAACCACCAGCACCTGGTTCAAGGACCATGGTATCCCTGTCCTTGATTGGCCAGCAAACTCGCCTGACCTTAACCCCATAGAAAATCTATGGGGTATTGTGAAGCGGAGGATGCAATACGCTAGACCCAACAATGCAGAGGAGCTGAAGACGACTATCAGAGCAACCTGGGCTCTCATAACACCTGAGCAGTGCCACAGACTGATCGAGTCCATGCCACGCCGCATTACTGCAGTTATTGAGGCAAAAGGAGCCCCGACTAAGTATTGAGTGCTATACATGCACATTCTTTTCATGTTCATTCTTTTCAGTTGGCCAACATTAGAGAAACAAACATTTTTTCATTGGCCTTTAGAATATTCTAATTTTCTGAGATACCAGATTTGATGTTTTCATTGGTTGTCACCTATAAATATCAAAATTAAACGTAATAAACATCGGAAATACATTGGTCTGTGTGCATTGCATGAATATAATGTACAAGTTTCACGTTTTGAATGGAATTACTGAAATATTTTCAACCTTTTGATGATATTCTAATTTACTGGCCAGCACCTGTAATCGTTTGACCTCTGTTATTGCCAACAAAGGTTATCTTACATAGTATTGAGTTGAATTTTTGTTATTGACCAAATACTTATTTTCCACCCTGATTTACAAATAAATTCTTTAAAAATCCTGCCACGTGAATTCATGGATTTTTTTTTCACATTCTGTCTCTCACAGTTGAAGTGTACCTATGATGAAAATTACTGACCTCTGTCATCATTTTAAGTGGGAGAACTTGCACAATCGGTGGCTGACTAAATACTTTTTGCCCCACTGTAATTGAAACTACTGCAGCATTCTGTCCATCTTTTGATGCTTTTACAGAAACATTCAGGCTGTTTGCTCAACAAACAGGGGGGATCAGCTGACCGGAGTGGGCTCATCTTCATCTGCTCTCTTCTTTAACCAAATACACAGAAAACACTAACAGCTGTCTTGCTTTCCAGGATCTGTCTCACTGTAAGAAGGTGATGGAGGAGAGAGGAGAACTCTTTCTAGAAAAGATCTCCATGTCCAGAAACAAGGTTGCTAAGCTCTGTCACACCTTCATCAAAGACGGCGCTGTACGTACAAGCTCCTCCTCCTTTGCTTTTCATCAGTCCTGCGACTTATTTAAGGATCTCTGTTCTGTTTAAATCACTTAGAAAATCCTGACTCACTCGTACTCCAGAGTTGTTCTCAGAGTTCTGGAGAAAGCAGCAGCAGAAAAGAAACGCTTTTCGGTATATGTGACCGAGTCGCAGCCTGATGCTGCTGGGTGAGTGAGCAGGGAGTGTGTGTGAGGTTTGATTCTTGAAGGATACACACTTATTCAGTTGTCTTCAGACGACAGATGGCAGAAGCCCTGAAGAAGCTGAACGTTCCAGTAACCGTAGTCCTGGATGCTGCTGTTGGGTGAAGACCTCCTCCCATATCCTCTTTAAAACTCAAAAGCAGGTGTTTTATTTACAGGTTTCTGTTATTTGTCACAGGTATTTCTTAGAGAAAGTGGATCTGGTTATAGTCGGTGCTGAGGGAGTGGTGGAGAGCGGGGGGATCATCAACAAGGTTGGTGTCATTTATTTCCATGACTCTGGTTTTCACAGTGTGCGTGTTTATGTAGGGAGTATCGTGTCCGCCTCAGACCAGCCATCATAATCATACACCCACATCTTATTTCTAAGAATTAAAACGGCCATGAATCAGAAAATCCTTTCTCTTTAATGGCTGCTAGTATAAATGAGGAATTTCTAATTTTTATCTGAGTGGATAAAATAATTTGAGTCCGTATGGCGGCAGCCTAAAGAGCCGTGTCTGTTCAATGAATGAAAACGTTGTGGTTTCATTTCAGAGAGTATTTTATTCATCTGTAATGTAATAAAAGACTTTAAATATTTTATTAAATGTCAATTCATTTATGCCCAGGTTTATAGAATAAATTATATATTTTTATTAAACTATAGCAGTGATTTTTTTAATATATATATTTGGTAAAGTCTTTTCTTATTCTCAGTGTCTCTGCTGCTGTGGGACACGCGGATGTTTAGATTCGTAGGGAGGGAGGGACACTTTAGTCTTTTTAAATGACAACCTTCTCTGACTGGGATAGATTTTAAACATATAAAAATGAAATTAAAAGCTATACTTGTCTTCATCAAAGCAGAAAGAAAAGTTGCTTAAAAGGTAAATTTATTAACCAATAAAAAGACGGATGGTGCCGACTCCTTTAGAATTTTGTACTTATTCTAATGAACACAACCCTGTATGTGTAACATCGCCACTAAAACAGATTCATGCCCAAGCATGTTAATTTGGGGCTGGCGCCAGACGCTGCCATAGCGTTTTAGCTCTCATACAGCTCAGAGCAGCTGATGCTAATTTAGTCAGATTCTAATTTATCTTCAATAACAAATTAACTGAATGTTTAATAAAAATTCATGAACTTGAAAATGATTCATCTAGAACTCACATTCTGATGTATATGGATACTGACAGTAAACTGACATGTTTTAAAGGTGTGGTTCACTGAAAAACAATTTTTATTGATTATTTCTGATTATAATCAGTCCCTGAGTTTTCATGCAGGCGGAACATGAAAATAGTCTCCTACATTAATCTCCTGCTGATAGGAAATAGACAGGGAAGCTCTAGGATTTGAAAAGCCTGACCACAGAAGCTCCTCCAGGCTTCTGTTATTTGTGGAGATAAAACATCCACGTTGCAAGTCAGTGGTAGAGTCGCGTTGCTGTCATCCAAATCAGAGGTGTGATATGTCCAAATATCAGGAAGACTCCAAATCCTGTTGTCTGAAGCTCTCCTCTGATCTGGCAATCTTCCAGATCCTGAAACAGGTGCACAAGGGGCCTCATTTATCAAGCTTGCTTACGCACAAAACGGGGTCGGAAAACTGCATAAGCAGCTTTCCACGCAAACTTTGGGATTTATGAAAGAAAACTTAGCAGAAAAATGTGCGCAACTTTAAGTTGACTGAGGACCTTGCTTACACACATTTTGGACATGGAGAGCACCTGCAGTGCTGCTGCTGAGAAGGATAAAATTATGAAATCCTGCAGCATTATCACCTGTACTGCTTTGTTTTCACACAGAACAAGACCGCGCACGCACGCACGCACACACACACACAGCCTGAAGTGCAGAATATGGAATGCAGAATATCAGCAGGGGGACAGATTGAGACAGAATGTCATGCATCTGTGACAGTGTGTGTGACCTGATTGATCATGCACCCTGGCTACTTGGACAAGGGAGATCTCCGTTTGGGTGACTGGTTAGCGCTCGTGACTTTTGCCCGGGAGTCTGGGGATCGAATCCCGATTGGACCATTATTTTTATATCCGCCACAGATCTCTCTGAAGAATTCTCAACATTGACGGCTTCAGCAACGCTATGCCACTCCGTGGATTTTCTCTCATTTGTTTTGCAACAGCACTTCCTTTCATTTCTCCACCTCACCCACAGGTACCTCCATTTCTGCTTCTGTGAAATTGAGTTTCCTTGATCTGCCTTGATCTACGGTCGCCATGTCATTGGCGGAGCGTTGCAACAGCCGGCTTATGTATATGCATGAGATCCACAAGGCACTTTGCATTGACTATTTATGGCAGTAAGTGGGCGTGGTGAGGGTGGGATGTGACTAAAATGCAGCTGAGAAACTTTCTCGTTTGTCTCTGATTTATGAAGCGGAGATTGCGTGCAGCTGTGCGTACTCCATGTTTGATAGATCACAAGCCTACTTGGCGTAAGTATATTTTTTTGCTGAGCTTAAAGGGGCATTATGGAAGTTTGACAGCCAAAACATGTATAGAAATAATACATTTCTTCTTCATACATTCTCCTGCAATGCCCTGGTCCTGTAGAATGAGTCCTGGCATTTTTACTGTGATTGCCTGTTTTTCTGTAAAATCACAGAAAGAGAGAGCTGCTCGGGTCGAGCAGGCTGCCTCATGCTCGTTCACGCTCAGGCATAGCCTTCCGAACCGTTCTTTGAACGTTGTTTCGGCTGTCAAAGGATATAAGTGTTACAGATACAGTAGACGCCACTGGCGATTTAGCTCATCTAGTAAGACGTCGGACTTTTGTGCAGAAGACCTGGGTTTGATTCTGGATGTTAACATAGTTTGAGTTTCTTTTTTACATTAATGATATATATTTTTTAAAGTAAGATGCCCACATTTTATTTGAGACTCGCCGAACTGCATTGAAGTCGGATAAAAAATGATGTGGGTTCAACTTTCATTTTGGAACAACTTTTCAAGCAAGGGAAGGGAATGATCTGAGCATGCAGGAGGACCGACCCATCTTAAACCTTTGTCGGCTGTGCTGAAGAGAAAGGTACAGAACCAAATTATTTAATTAGCTGCACCGTCTCCTGTCCTCTGGGCCACACACACACACACACACACACACACACACACACACACACACACACACACACACACACACGGGACTGTCAGCTCTCAGCTGTTATTTTCGTCAAGGAGTGTGCACGTACAGCATGCGCGCCTCGTGCACGAGCCTCCTATTGAAGCTGCCGTTACGCTTTTGGCCTGAGGGGGCAATCGCGAGCATAAAAATTCAAAACTCCGTAAAGTCCCTTTAAAAGTATGGTTTTAGTAAGGATTCTACGCAATGTTTGATAAATGACACCCCTGGGCTTTTTGTATGCAGAGTACAATTTGCAAAGCACTCATTCCCTCTAGAGATCACTGCAAATGTACCCATTTAAAAAATGAACCACACTCTTATGAATTTACAAAATAAGTGCTTTTACAGCATTTTTAAAATCTAAAATACAACCAGTATCAGAGCAGGTAAGGTCCATCATGGTGACACATTAGTCACCCTAAAGAGCCAAAGTTGAACCTGAAATCATTAGTTTGTTCTTTAGGCTCATAATTATTAAAGGGATGACTTGTAACCTCACCAGGTCTACCTTAAATAAGCTTATATGATAAATATTTCATTTATCACATTACACTTTCAAAGTCAGGCTTTAATAAAAAGTCTTTCTACAAACTTCATTAACATAATCGGTCCAGTTGACACAAATGAAAACGTTCCATGACATGACGGGTAGCTGTTCTTCTGGTTCCGTTTTCTGAGTAGATATATTTTATAATTCAGAGGGACAAGCATTCATGGTTAAAGGGGAAGATGATTTTATCTATAATCTGACACATTGGAGACGTAACAAGTGTGTGTTCTTTCAGATCGGCACGTATCAGATGGCTCTGTGCTCCAAAGCTCACAACAAGCCCTTCTACGTGGTGGCGGAAAGCTTTAAGTTTGTGCGCTTGTACCCTCTGAACCAGCAGGACGTGCCCGATAAGTTTAAGGTTGGTCTTCACACTTGTTTGGTTTCTCTCTTTACTCTGAGGATTCCCTCACTCGCACCTCCTTCCCTTTACAGTACAAAGCCGACACCCTGAAGTCCCATCAAAACCTGTCTGAGGCGGATCCAATCATCGACTACACACCTCCCTCCCTCATCACCCTCCTCTTCACAGACCTTGGAGTACTCACCCCATCAGCAGTCAGCGATGAGCTCATTAAACTTTATTTATAACAGTGTTTAGAACACTATGCTCTAATAAAACACATCGAATCTCAGTCTCAGCTGTGGTGTTCCTGCTCTGGCTCTTCTGCCTTGTGCTTCAGTTTGGGTCTGCTTATCTGTTCCTCAAAGTCTTCCTCACTGATTTGGCCTTTCTTCAGCTTCTTGAGAAGACGAGTGTCGTCTAAAAGCTCTTTCATTTCTTCGTCATCGACATCGGGGTCCTGCAGAGACAACACAACCCATCAGACCTGGTTCAGTGGAGTTGTGGTTTAAACCTCGAGTAGAAATACCTCATCGTGTTTTCTCTTAGCCACCCGTTTTTTCCTGCGCTCCTTCTTCATTTTCTGTTTGGACCAGGCTTTATTCTTTAGGAAGTTCTTTTTAGGAAGCTCTGCCTGGACTTTATCTTTCCGCTCAGCCAGAGTCTTCTGCCTCTGCTTTTCTCTGTTCTTGTCTTTGTAGCGGATGCTGTCTGTGTTCACCGAGGTCTCTTCAAACTCTGGAAAGGATTTTCCTCTCAGCTCTGGCATCTTTGGCAGGCGGAGGAGAGCAAAGCCGCTGGCCAAGAAAGCAAAGTCCAGATCTACAGGAAAAAAATAATCTTAGAACAATTCCACTTCAGGGGTCATCTCATGCCATGTTGGGTTTATGCTGCTTTTTTCACCTTTGACCCGGAAGATGAGGCTACACTCGTGTTTGCGGTAGGCCTGGACGCAAGAGACGAAAGCTCTGATGCCTTTCTCAAACATGGCCCGGTCTGACAACGCCATGGCCTTCACTTTAGGCAGCACGTCCACCACGTCCTTCACAGGAGACATCTTCTGGAGAGGACACTGGAGAATCCGTCCGTTTAATTTCACAATCACTGAAATAATTCTGAGTTATTTTCCTAAATTTAAAAAATAAAGTAATTATAAAACACGTCTGAAGGTTCAGGGAGTTAAACCAGAGCAAGTTTAACACCTGAAATATGAATACTTGTCTAGGTATTTGTTACAAGTTTAACAAGATGAGACGATCCACCACAGTCTGAAGTATACTCACTTTCTGGTTAATGGATAAAAAATTGACATAAGATTCCTCCATCGGAAGCAGGAAGACTAGGGCGTTGCCGTAGTTACCGATACGCGCCGTTCGCCCACATCGATGCACAAAAGCACTGAAACAGAAAATATAAAATGCAGCAGAGCACAGTAAAAAAAAAAAAGAGTGAAAATCAAATAAAAAGATGGTGTCTATTGAAGGTGTGGGAAACTATAACCAATACATTTTCAGTGGTTTCTGGTAGGAATGAATGCCTTGCAAGCCGTACTCGGCAAAAAAAGCCCAGAATTCCTTGGAACAGCAACAAGTCTGTTGCTGCAGAAGGAGGCAGCAGACGGCAGGATTAAAGCCTAATCTACACTTCTCCGTCAGCTCCACGAGGGAGAGACACGGACGGAGACAATTTGCCCTCAAACTTCTCGTCTCTTGGGGAGTGTTGCAAAGCAACTCCCCACCAGGACAACAGAGGGCGTAGCACTGTTCTGGGAAATCCTGTCATGTATCCAAGATAGTGTGTTAGTGTTTTTCTTTTTTGTATTTGAGACTTTTTAACACGCAAAAATTTGTCACTCATCCTCCACCTCTTCATGCGCTCACCACCTCTAAACTGATGTTTCGTGTAATTTCCATCCACGAATAAAACACTTGCTGCACATCTTTCCACTCCTCCAGTCACGGGGGAATAAAACGTTCTTATGTTAGAGTTTTTCCACGATGTATTCTTCACTGCTCAGTGTCTGCCGCTAGATATCCTCGGCTCTGTGTTTTTGAGGGCGCAATGGCGGCGTTGTAGACGACAGCGGCGTCCCGACCAATCACAAGCTTGTGTTCTCCATCTCGACTGACGGATGTTTATAATGGTGTTGCGTGCGCCTGTCCCCACTGACTGTTTACTTTGCAACGCTGATGTTTTATCTCCACGAAAAACAAACCTGAAGAGTTCTGCCATGTGGTGAAGTCGCTAATGCTAACAGTTAGCTTCTACTAGCCGAGGCATTCTCTGCTGGTTCCTAGACGCTAAACCATCAACAGTCTTCATGAGTCAAGATTGGTGAGTCCATGACTGTTAAGTGACGGTGTGACGTAGATCTGTCAGACCTTTAAAATCCTAGAGTTTCACTGAGTATTTTCAATCAGACGCTAATGCAGGATATACAGTAGATGTAGGAGACCATTTTCCAATTCTAATCCAAAATAGTCATTAACAATTGTGTTGTGTTTACCAGCTACATCGGGGCTCACAGCTTCTGCTTCACACAACACTATTTATCCCCGTCCGAGAATCGCATAGTCGCGACGCTCCTCAGCAGGCTCACGTCTGTTCCAGCTCTCTTTGGCGCTGGCCCTTGTCAGCCTTGGGCTGGTTAGTAAGTGGTACCTGGTGTGCAGCAGCGGGCTCCCAACGAGCCCTCCCCTCCTGCACACCGCCATAAATGGTTTTATAGTGAACCTCACATTTAAAACCAAACCACTCCCTCCTGCTACTTCTAACTACAGCTTTACATGTGGATTAATCCGCCACTGAAACTAGTCCCTGACAGCTGCATTAGTTTCTCCATGTTTGTTACCTGGTTTATAATAATTAAGTATTTTGAGGATGTAAACAAACACTTGTGACTCGTTTATGTTTTGATATAAAAAAAGTGTCTAATGTTGGTAACGTGTGACCCGGCATCTGTTCCCTCACCTGGCGCTGCTGGGAGGATCATACTGCAGCACCCAGTTAACATCAGGGATGTCGACGCCTCTGGCCATGACGTCTGTGCACACCAAGATCCCACTGCCACACGACACAAAGCAAACCCAGACATAAACAACGCAAACTGGTTTCCAGCACTTTTAACAAGATAAAGAATTAAAACCAGTAAAAATAAATAAAAAAACGATTGATTTTGCAATCAGCTACAGGTTAATTTGACAGCATCTTTATCATTTAAAAGCCTTTAAAGAAATTCTAAGGAGAGCAGCTCCCTCAGATTTAAAACCTTTGATGCTGTTAGATTAGCCTGTAGCTGTTTGAATTGATTGTAAAATGTGTTGTTTTTATATTTTTATTTTGTTTGCTGGTTTTAAATCTTTATCTTGTATGAATGGATGAATGCTGTAATTGATATGCAGCCCTGTTTGTCCTGGCCAGGATGCTCTTGCAAGAGATTTTAATCTCAATGAGACTTTTTCCTGGTTAAATAAAGGTTATAATAAAATAACTGGTTTCTACCTCTTCAGGGTCCTGAAGTCAGCAAAGATACTGTTGCGCTTATTCTTCATTTTCCCATGGATGCAGCGGATGGAGACCTTCTTCACCAGCACTTCCAGAGCTCGACCGAAGTACTCCACACAGGCACAAGTACTGAAGGTGGAGACAAGTGTGTCACTGAGCTGACAGAACCATCAGATCTTTTATTTGAAAAGAACAGCAGTTTTCCTTAGAACAGAATAATGGATTTTATTGCGGGAAATTATCAGAACACAATAAACACAGCCGACGTACCTAAAGAAGACCAGGTGCTTCTCATGTTTGTGTTGCCGTAGAAACGCCACCAGAGTGTTGAACTTGTCCTCTGATCTGCAAATCTGAAAGAACAGCGAGAGGAGTTTACCACCTCCTCTTGTTTCAGAGCTGCCTTTGAGCCTCACTCCTCCACCACTCACAGTGTAGTAGTTGGAGAGTCTGGAGGGGGTCTTCTGGGTGGCAGCGGCGGCCTGGCCCTTCTCTTTGACGGTGATGCGGACAGGATTCCTGAGACCGGCCCTCACCAGGTTCTCCAGCTCCTGAGTCTGAGTGGCTGAGAACAGGCCTGTTCGCCTCTGCTTGGGAAGGTAGCCCAAGATGGTGTTCAGACTGGAGAGAGAGAGAGAGACAGAGAGAGAGAGAGAGAGAGAGATGTTAGAGGCACTGAAATACGTCCAACAGCCTCGGAGCTTCTCAAAGGTTTTAATGGAAACTAAATCATTTAGTGGTGACATGCTTTCATTTAGGTTGTTTAGTATAAATGAAATTTTCTTAAAATGTCAACAACAGACCTTACAATTCAATTAGTGACGTGAATGTGATTTTCATGTTTAAAGACAAATGTTCAAAGCAGGAATCCCACTGTTTAGTGTAAAGATGACATTTTATTCTTAGCTGCGTTAACTACAACTAACCTTTATTAGAATTTTTTTTTTTATAATTTCTGACAGCTGAGACGTATGACACCATGTTGCACAAACAATTAGGAATTTAAAATAGGCCTCCTCTTTGCCCAGAGGAGGGCACCATCAGGATTTGAAACAGAATATCTGGTTAGTTCCTCTCTATCCATCTGTTTTTTCATCTTTTATCTATCCTTTCTTTTAAATTACATGATAACATCTGGATGTAGGACTGTTTTCATCCCAGAGCCGACCCAGTAACCAGAACGCTGCTCATTTTAAAGCTGTTGAGTGGAACAGCACTGAACACCAGTTTTAGTGCTGGTTTTCAGTTCATCTGAATCTTTTAACAAACTCTTGCTACACAGAATGCTTTTAGTGTTAAATTGTATTTAATCGGAATAAAACTAATTGTCCAACTTGCCTCCTACTTGAACACATCGTGAGGAGCTGAAATTTTTTAAAGAACCAGTCGTACCTGGCCTCAAAGCCCATGTCCAGCAGTCTGTCCGCCTCGTCCAGAACCAGAACATCCAGACTCCTGACTGCACTGGCCAGGTCCAGACCGTCCGACTTCCTCCTGAACATGTCCTCCAGACGACCAGGTGTCGCAATCACAATGTTCCCCCTGGAAACATGCACAAATGTAAGACGACACAAAGCACATCTTTCCTATGCACCTTATCTAAATCAATCTGTTCAGCCTTTTATACTTTAACAAGAACTCCTGCAGGCCCTTTGAAACTTTGTCTGAATCATCACTTCAGTTTTTACTCAGCAACAAGCATTTGAATAGAAAGACCAACTAAATTTAAACACCAAGAATTTTTCTTTTAGGAAAATTATTCTTGTCATATTTGAATGTTGTAAATCTTATAAACTAATCTTATTACTAGCTAAGAGTTTCACTCATTACAAAGATCACTGTGGGTTTTTTCTTCTTCTTGGATTTATCGCAGCTGAACTTCCGAACAACAAAGATGCACCAGATAAAACTCAAACCCAGCAGCTGTTTTCCTTAGTTCCTTTAAAATTTCTTTATTTTATAAGATGGGAATAAATTCGTTTTTCCAAACTTGCTTACAAAAACAAAACCTCTTCTCAGATGCAATGTGATCAGAACTCCATGGGTCTGTTTTAATCCTGAGCAGGCAGCTGTGTGTGAAACAGAATGAAAACCTTCGCGTACCCCTGATCCTTGAACTTTTCCACATCCTCGATAGGATTACTGCCACCAATCAGTAAAATCTGCCTGAGAAACAGGAAGTAAACAACTGAGCACAAGAATGTTCATAAAAATGTGATTTTTTTTTTTGGGTGCGACTCTGTCTCCTACTCATGATTTATGTCCATGGCTAAAGTCTTTATACTCACGTAAATTGTGGGAATTTCTGAATAAACTTCTCAGTTACTTCACTGATCTGCAAGGCCAGCTCTCTTGTGGGAGTGATCACCAGAGCACCAACCTGCAGGAGATGGTTTTTAAATCTCATCATCAACTGTTCTGTTGAACCCAGACGATGGATTCAGATCTGGGTGACCAAGCTGATCATGAAGATGCTGTTTTGACCTGTGGGACACCCTTACCTGCCTCTTCTTCAGCTTCTCTTCTCTCCTCAGCAGCAGCTCAATAATAGGAATGACAAACGCCAGAGTCTTCCCACTCCCAGTCACCTGCAATCACATAGTTTACTGTTAGAACTGAAGCAGAAGAGTCTGATGTTTCTTCAGATCTACACAAGAGGTAGAAAGACAAATGGAGAGAAAGTAGTAATTTATATTCAATTCTATTGTCGTTTCTTAAAAAATAAAGGCTTTCCATTCCTGGTCATTTGTTCAGTTTCAGCAAAGACAACGATGACGTAAGTATATAAAATGGCTACTATCCGGGTTGGAGGACAGGTCCTAGCTCAAGTGGAGGAGTTTAAAGACGTGAGTTTGTTCATGTGTGAGAGAAGCAAGGAGGGAGATCGACAGGCGGACCAGTTCAGCCGGCCTGTTGTGGTGAAGAGCAAGCTAAGCCACTGAGCTAAGACCTCATTTTATGGGAAAATCTTTGTCCCAATCCGCATGTGTGATCATCAGCTTTGGGTTATGACTGAAGAAAAAAAAATCAACAAGCAGCAGAAATGGGTCTCCTTCACAGGTTGGGTGGGCTCAACCTAAAGACAGGGTGAAGAGCTCAGACCCAGAGTAGACATAACTCCTCCATGTCATGAGGAGCCAGCTGAGGTGAGGGGACTTTTTCAGCTCATGTCTCCTAGATGCGTCCCAGGAGAGGTGTTTCAGACATATACTGGCAGCAAGATGCCCAGGACACCTCGGTGGGATTATTTATAATTTTTTTCTACAATATTCATCAGCAGACACGTGACCTCTGAACTGATCGAAAGAGGTCTATGATGTCGATAAACAAGATGTCAGGAAAAAATAAAGCAATAGATCCTAGAAAGCAGGCAGGTTTTGTGAAGCTCTAATAAATGGCTTCAGCAACTAATCCGAAACTGTAATCCCAGGTTCCTGGATTTTAATGAGTAAATACCAAATAAACGTGTACCAGACTAAATAAAACGTTTTGAGTCATTTATCTACTGTCCTCCTCCTCCTCTACGCTACAGAAACAGCGGGTAAACTCACCGCCTCAGCAGCCACATCTTTGTTGCTCATGAACAGCGGAATACAAGCAGACTGGAAAGAGAACACATCAATAAATCAAGTGTTTTACGATGAGAACGGATCCAGAATCAGCTTTAAACTCTAAAGTTACCTGAACAGGTGTCATGTAAGTAAACTTCATTTCTTCGAGCGTCTGTAAGATCTTCTGATTGAGCTGGACAGATAAACTGTCCCACGTGCCGTCCGTTGTGTTGTCCATGATAGGCAAAGAAAAAACACAAGATTTTAGCACATGGTTGGCTAGCCACTACACGTAATGCCTGCTTCCGGTGCGTTGGCATTTACGCACCGGGTGGAACTTCAGCAACGAGTGTGGTTCTGCTGCAGCAGCGATATTTTTGCTTTCTCTTTCTGAGTTGTTGAAAGTTTCGATTCAAACAATAATAGTTCGTGAGAAATTAATATGGATACACATGATCATGGTAAGACCAGCTGATTCTATTTCTTGCTCTCAGCTTTATGGGACTAAAACTTAAAGGTGCAGTCTGAGATTTTTGAAATAATGCTGGAAACGCTTTTCACAAATTGGTGACAACCAATAAACTAAATGTTTTGTTCAAAAATTGAACATTTTTAATCACTTAACCAATCCTAGAAAAGCCTCAGGGCTCAAACTGCACCCCATGACAATGCCGTAAGGGTAGTTACCAAGGTCGAGCAAGGATCCGACCTAGCTGGACCGGTAAGGACCTGTCCTCACAAGCATCCTGCCCCTGGATTCGGACACACCCATAATCTGCACTTCACCCAAGTACGCAGCAATGCGGACTTCGGGCAAGGGTATTACCATGGTATTACCCACAAGTAGGGTTGGGCGATATAGCCTAAAATTAATATCACGATATATTGAGGATTTCACCTCGATAACGATAAATAGACGATAACTACAGATAAGCGCAGAAACAAAAGTTGTCCACTAGATGGGGCTGTTACACGTATTAGTTGATTGACATTTGTGACTCAAGGTGGTACAGCTTCTTAAAGGGACGTGAACGTTGCCAACCTACACACATCCTTTCATTTTTTTACTATCAAATTTATTGACATGGGAACAATTATCACAATAAGAGTTAGAAATTTTGATAATGATAAATTTTCAATTTATTGCCCAGCCCTATCCACAGGTGGCATTAATAAACTAAATGGGGAAAGTCCGAGGGGAAGATAAACCATAATCTATAAAACACTAAATAACTAAACCTAAAGACTAAGGGCAAAGATAAACAACTAATGACTAGAGGGGTGAGGAGGACTGATACAAACCAATAAGAACTACATGGGAGTGACTAGGAGGAAACATGAGGGAAGCCTAGAGGGAGCTGGAGAACACAAGGAGACACACAGAGCACAAGGAGACACATGAGGGGAACGCAGAGGACGAACAGGAGGGGGCCGGGACCAAGGGGACACAGAACATGACAAAGGCTTTGTTTTGTTTTCCATGCCTCCTCTTTCAGCTGCCTGGCACGGACCCAGCCTGGATTCAGACAGGCATCACAGATCACAGGCGGAGGTGAATAATGGCCGGTCTCTTATTGTGGCCGGGTGGAATGTGGTAACAAGCAAGTACGGGGGGCGGTTGTGTCATCGTCTCACTTTTGATTTGCCAGTGAAAGACCGCGAGGGTAACTTTAACCGTGCGGAGACGAAGAGGAGGCGACAATTTGATATCAAGTTCAAAGAGAACGTGCGCTGCAGAACACTGGGGAGCAATAGGGGTTGTATGAACTAGTTTTTATGCCTGTCATCGACTAGTCGCTGTCACGTGATAATGACCGGCAAGATGCAGCCCTCGGAAAAGTCAGCAGCCTGCTGTCAGCAGGTGACAAGCTCCTGCGCTCGGGGGGGCAACGCGCTGTGCCAGAGCGTCAGTACTGACACGCGATCGTTCATGTTGGTTCATTTCCTTTAATGTTTTCTGTCTTTTATTTGCACCTGATGCATTTCGCTGTGGAGCGGGGCGCATCACCTTGCCATCCGGTGACGCACCAATCACTGATGCGGCCGCCTAGCAGCAAGCACTCCGCTGTTTTTGCAGTCGGTAGATCTTTTAGAACTGCAGCTCAAAGGTAACTCATAAGGTGAATATATATGAACCCAGGTAGCAGTTTTTCTTTAGGATTGAGAGGAGATGCAGGAAGATAATAAACAGACAGGACAGAAAAATAGTTAAATAAAAACAAGTTAGTTTTTGTACCTAGTGGTTGCAACAAACAGACACCATTGAAGGTAATCAGAAGTGAGGAACAGAAAATGAAATAATTATTTTAATGTTTAGAGCAGCAGGAACTTCGAGAGGCTGCAGGCGCATCAGTGAGTTTGCGGCCGCTGCGCAGGGGGAGGGGGGAGAGGGCTGAAGCAGAAACTACCGTTGTTAAAGAAATGTTTAACTTTGAAAATGTGGGCGCAATTTTAATTGTCAAAAACTCCAGCGAACCATTAGTTCATTTTGCTCAAATAGAAATGGAGGCCTGCCTCTAATTCTGGCCCTCCTTCCAATAAAGGCCTGGAGCTTGATGAGCTTGAGTCAATACAGGCCCAGGCCTGTATTAGAGGATTTACGGTATGTACAATTTTTTTTGGATACATTATATATATTAGTTAGCATTATTCACAACACACAGTCCAAATCCTAAAAGACCATGTAAGAACTCATGATGGGCAAGAGTGCATGTCGATTTGACCAAATAGCTGGAAACACAAACTCTCATCCTAAAATTATAAACTTAAACTGTGGCACGAAAGGTTGCAGACAGCATGGTTTTACTATTGGGCTGATTAGTCTTCAGCGATTTAAATACCAATATGTTTGGAGCTTTTAGTCTTAAGTGATTAGCTATGTATGGTGAAACCCTGTTATCAGTTAATGATGGCTAATGTTAAACACACACACACACACACACACAAAGGAATTGTACAGAATATTGGCTTTATTATGAAACCTGGGGCAATTTTCACAGCCAGTCATTCTACATTTGAACCATTTAGCAGATTTGTTGTAATCACACACAAAAAAGAAAACCTGTATTCAGGGCAAGTGTCCTGCCTGAGCTCAGCAGTTTTACAAAGCTGAAGCATATTTTGTGACCTCCTGGTAGGTTTCAGAAAATGGTTTCATTGTGATGGCTTCATGTCACTAAACATGCTTCAGAGGCAACAAAAAGGTTCAAAACTGTGTAGAATAGCATTTTAGATCCCAAACCCTGACCAAATAAAGTAAAATCCACTCAGCACAGCAGTCATTAGGGGTCCACCACCCCACCCTACCCAGCCCAGCCACCCTCATTAACTTCAAACACAAATGTCAATACACATCTACGCTTCACTTGGGCTGTAAACCAAATAGTTTAGTTAAAATCTGGCTCTCACCCAGCCCCTCCAAAGGTTGCAGTCAAGTTTTTAAGTAGATTAAAAATTATACCAATGTATGAACTTTTAGGCCTGTTTACATTTTCCAAAGTGCGTGGGGTGGGGTGCACCATCCAACAGGAAACATGTTCACTGAAGACCGTCATTGCCAGAATTGCCTGGTGGTGGTAGAAGCAGCTGCAATGTGAATCCTTCAGACATTTAGGAGTGCAATTTGTTGTTTAACATTAACATAACAATGGGCAGTGAACAGTGGCTCGGGCACTTCAAACAACCCCCACACCTCAGACAGTAAGTCAGAACTTTATCTTTTGAAATTTTTCTATTTAAATGTCGATAAGGGCAGCATTTTCTTGAGGCGACTCCACGTGTACCCTTTCATCATTAAGTCTAGCATGTGACCTCAGTTGCCTAAAATACACACTTGCTGCACAGAAAAAGCTGTACTTGCAAGTAACTGGTATGAACTATGATGATCAAACAACTTTAAACAGAAAAATAAAAATGTGTTGAACTAAAAAAAAAAAGAAAAAACTAAGAAAAATCGACATCTGGGACAGAATTTGTTTGGCCATAAATTCAAAACAGACGTTAATAAAAGAAGGAATTAACCTGGTAACAGGAGAACAAAACATCCAATCATGTGTAGGCTTTTCTCACATCTGCCAGTCTCATTTTCAGAGTGTAAATAATTGTCTTGGTGCTGGAGGACACACTGGAATCACAAACGCTCTACACCACTCGTCGAACCTCGAAAAACCTCTTCAAGTAATAAATCTGTCCAAGTGTCATCGCCACCAGAACCAGAGCTTCAAAGAAGGACCACAGGACCACTCTGCTATTTGTGTTGTCGTTTACTAGAGGAAGAGGAACAGAAGACTGTTAGTGAAAATGCTTCCATTCACTGAACATGACACATTCTCCTCCACTGATGTTCTTACTTGCTCTGTGTATCCTCTCGCGGACCTCCATGTACTCCTGCTCATGCTTTACAGCAGTCATGGCAACTGCCAGCTCATTGATCATCTCCTCCAGCTTGTTTTGATGGGCTGAAACAGTCAGAAGTCAGTCAGTAAACCAGGATGCAACACTGTCCACAAAACCACATGCATCGGGTTTATACAACACATGCAGAACACTTTCACATCCGTGGAAGGGGATTCAGTCACAGCTACATCACTAATTCTCACTGTGCAAACATTCAAACTCTGAAAACGCTGCAGTTGTCCATCTGTGCATTGAAATAAAACTAATAATTCACACAACAGAAGAAACACCAGTTAAGAGAAAACTCCACAATGCATCAAACAGTGCTAGTTTCATCATAGCCTGCTCTGCTTCCTACCATCCCAGCTGTTGTGACCTACAGAAAGGGGGAAAGCAGCCACAATTAAGTCAGAAAGAAAGAAAAAAAGGAGTAAAACAGGAAGTGGAGAAGAAGAAATGAAGGCAGCACACTCAAACGTTTAAACTACACCCTCCTTCTAAACGAGTACCTTCCGTCTCCATGTCTTGGCCTTTTGGTGCCTCTCCAATATCAATGGTGAACATGACAATTTTAGGTGTCATGGTTGACATCTTGTTGCTGAAGCAGAACTTGTAGGTTCCATCCATGTGTGCGGCCACGGAGTACTTCCCACTGGACTCTCGGTCCCCTTTGTAGATCTGCTTACCATCAGGTCCTGTTATCTGAAAAGAAAATATCTGTGTGAGAAACTGATGGACCCAAAGTTCATTCAACATCAGAAACACAAGAGCTCATTAAAGGGATACTAGGCAGTTTTGCTTGCTTTTAGCACCCCCAGCGCTCCTCCGTGACAGCAGGGGGGGGGGGGGGGGCTCCGCCCCGCAGCGCTCCTCTGTGAAAGCGGGGGTGGGGTGGTTGCACACTTTCCGCTGCTGTTTCTCACCAGTATCAGCTGATGGACAGCTCTAGTTTCGTTGCGTCGTTCATGTTGTCGTGTCAGCGGGCACGGTAGGGTCGGGGAAGGCATGATGCTTAGCCTGGCGGGTGGGCAAGCAAAGCGCTGGGGGAAACCCTGGTGCCTATTCTCTAGAGCTGAAACAACTAATCGATTTAATCGATTATAATCGATTATTAAAATAGTTAACAACTTTTTTAGTCATCGATTAGTTGTTTAATAATCATATTTTACCGCATAAAGTCTATTTTTTACCACAATCTGACATCGGTTACAATCTGTTAAATTTGCCGCCAGTGTGTGGCACTAATGAGCCACTGATCTACCAGTGGGGCCGTAGAAGAAGAAATTAGCCAATAAGTGCCCTCGGTTTTCATGACGTAACACGTTACTGACGCGCATCTTGCTGTGAGAGATGGCGGATCAACAACAAATACGGAAGAAAAATAGATGCGACAAAACAAGAGAAACCCCGGACAAAAACCTCACGAGTATGGGAGCACTTCACTAGATGCCTTGAAAAGACGGGTGACCTACAAAATATGCAAAAACCATGGCACGACGGAAGCACGACGTCCCTAAGTGAACATTTGAGACGAAAACGTGGGGGCTGATGCAGCAGAGGAATGTCCGGTAAGTAACAGAAAATAAACAAGCTAACGCAGATCACATTTGGGACTTAGTGTTAGCTGAGTTCGTTATAATGGATGTTAAACATGTTTTTTTTTTTTGCCGCGTCAGTTTACGGTGTTCTACTTCTGATTGACTAGATGCAATCGTGAATCTCCTCCGTGTTGTGAATCATGCGCTTGCCAAATTCAGCACGTCTGTTTATAAGAATGTTCTCGTTAAGAGAAAAACGGCACAAACCCATAACTATGTTCCTCATTCAAAAAAGGACAACTCCGCGGAGAAAAATATACAGACGAGCTGTGTCCAGGTGAATATAACGCGGCATAGTTGTACGCTTTCAATTTTTAAATACAGGAGAAATTCAGAAAGTCCTTTTTTTAACTATTAAAAGGCTGTTTTACTATCTAACGCTGTAAAACGCCTCACAACACATTTTTGTCAAAATAAATGATCACTGTATTGTTAATTAATTCAAATAATGTAATATTGATTTAGTGTTGTAGTGTGTGTGCTGCTTTATTTTATATGTGTACTTAATTCAGTTTATTTGTGTTTCTTATGCAGAAAAAAACAAGCAACGATGGACAACTACATGGGGAACAAGACACTCACCCCCAGCAATGCATACCACTTACAAACTCTATTCCAGATTCTACATTATTTTTTATGGAATTTACCTCTTATATTTTGATGCCAAAAAATTATTCTGGACTGATATTTTGCACTGTTTAGCTCATTTTACACTGCTGACTGTGGTCATGTGCAATAAAATAGATTGCAGTCAACTGCACAATTCTCTTATGTTTTTCTTTTTCTTAACTGAAATGTATTCATCACTTGTATAGGTTAAATAGCTAAACAATAACAAACCGATTAATCGATTAATCAAAAAAATAATCGACAGATTAATCGATTATGAAAATAATCGTTAGTTGCAGCCCTACTATTCTCTAACATTTTGAGCTTTAGAAACACTGGTGCAGATGTTTGCAAACACACGCCAACACACACACAAACACACACAGGCGAGAGCTAGAGATGTATCAAATGTCTCACAGGCACTTTTTAATTATATATTTATAATTAATGTAAAATTATTTAAATTTCATCTAGAGGTGGGCCATATCGTTTAACTCTTGTCCAGAGAAAAAAAAACCTATCATGTTAAACTGAATGTATGATGATGTAACTGCATCTGCTGAAGATCACATGGGTCATGCACCGTGGAGTTATTAGTTATTAGGGCAAACATGGAGTCTCATATTGGCTCATATCAGCGATTATACTGTAATGACTCAGAGTCTCTGGTTGCTCTTTTATGAGTATTATTTTCGGGCTACTGTCGCCATAACACACACCTCACAAACAACTTTTTCAACAGAATTGCTCGTAACGAAGTATTTACTAGCATAGTTAACCAGAGTGGAAAAAAGTGGAACAACATTTCTCACCCATTGAGCTCACCTTCAAAATAAAAAGTTAACCCTATAGTTTACTATTCAAACCCTTACAATACGTTTGAGGTAATTTGGCCACTCCGGCTTTCCGTAAATGTTTCCTCATTACACAGTGGAGGGAGGGGTTTGACTCATCTCTTCGCACAAGCAGGATGGAAAAACAGAACTCCGTTGGTGTTGAACATCCCCAAATAATTAAAAACGAGGACGCCAAATGCAAAGTTTAGAGCAGCACATTTACCCAGAGGCTCTCAGATTGAGCTAACTTGTGAGAATACATGTAATAGCCGCTTAGAGACGGAGAAACATGTCGCTAGCATAGCGGCTAATCGCTAGCATAGCACTTTAACCAGTTATATCAATATAAAGATATAAAGTCATCTTATATCTTGTTTAAAAATTATACCGATATTTTATAAATATCGATATATCGCCCAGCCCTACCTTAATCTAACAGCTGAAACGTCTTCCAGCATTCCGAAGTGTCTAGAGCAGGCGTGGGGAACCCTGGTCCTCGAGGGCTGGTATCCTGCACGCCTTTGCTCCAACACTTCTGATTCAGTGGTTGATTCACCTGTTCAGCAGCTCATCAGACTCTGTAAAGCCTGTTAATCACTGCTGATTGAAATCAGGTGTGTTGAAGCAGGGTTGAAACTAAAATATGCTGGATAGCGGCGCTCGGTGGACCAGGGTTCCCCACCCCTGATCTAGAGGAATGATTCATCACTAAATAACACATCAGCTGTGTTCATAATCTAAAACATGCAGGAAACGTGCTGAAGTTAGTTGGTTTTGTGTAGGGATGTCCCGATCCGATCACATGATCGGAAATCGGCCCCGATCACGTGGTTTCAGACTGATGGGGACTCGGGCTTTACTTCCCGATCCAAGCCCCGATCCGGAGTTGGATACTGGGTTCAAATTACAGGAGAGCAACTTGGTTCTCCTTAAAGGTTGTCAGGCTCCCCTGATGCCGTTAACTTACACACCCAGAAGGAGCACAAAAGAGATCCAGTTTCTACCTATTTTATATTATTTATATGGACTCAGCGTAGCGGGGATTCTTGAGGCAGACCGCTGATTATTCATGAACTCCAGCACTGGCCACAGTAACATTTTCTAAGTTTCTAAGTGGCGTCACCAAAAAATAATTAACACACAGTCGTTCGTGTCCGTTCATTTTCTCTCTGGTAAGTTCTGTCTGTACTTGAGCATGATGTGTGGACGCGCTCGCGCTGCAGCGCTCGTCACTGGCGCAGCCGGGCTGCGCGGTGCACACTCCGCTTTTTTTGCGGTCAATAGATCAATTTGATCTGCTAGTTCAAAAGTTACTTGTGAGGTGAAAAAGAAGGAAACAGGCAGGAGTTTTTCTGGAGGACTGGGAGATGCAGGAAGATCAGAGACAGACAGGACAGGAAGATAGGAAAATAAAACCAAGAAAACAAAACAAAGTTCTTAAAATAATAAAATATAGGTAGATTTATCCCACTACACGTTTGTACCTGTATACAGCAATAATTTATCAGCATGTAGTTTTTATGTAGCTAATACAATTCAGATCATCTTCAAAACTCCGTCCCACGCCCAGGGACGTATCTAAGCAATTTGGGGGCCGAGGCAAAATAGACCCTTGCCAGGTATTTTATGTTAAAGTGCTGTTTGTTTTTATATTAGACTTTTTATGTTTGCAATTAAGTCCAAAAGTGAAGAATTTATGTTATTTATTACTTGATTGTTCAAGCTACCTCACAGAAGTGATCTGTTAAAAATTAAAATAAAAAAGTAATTAAATAAAAAATAAGGAACATTCTGGAACCGTTTCTTCCTTTTATTTTTTTTATGTATCGAAAGTATCAGATCGGGACTCTGTATCAGTAGATTCTCAAAATCAAATGACTCGGACTCGAGGGCAAAAAAAAAAACCCTGATCGGGACATCCCTAGTTGTGTGTGTGTGAGCGACAATCTACAAGTCTGAAAATGTATCCTAAATTACACATTTTATCATCTCGCCAGCTGCGCAGCCAGGTTCAAAGTTTGTTTAACGTTGCACAGTTTTCTGTTAAGTTTTCTATTCACCACTTATTTAAAAAAAGCAATGGTTGCTTTTACAGCCTGAAGCACGATGTGCCAAATGGTCCCCAGGTACACACGATGTGGCAAACCACCACAAGGAAGTGGAAAGGAGAACACTGGCTAGAAAGATTTATTTTAATATCTACCATGTATTTTTCTTATATCTTGTGTTTGTCATTTGTTGTCCCATACACCACTTTAGTTCCATCCAGTTAGATTAACGTTTTCTGATGTAGGACTCTTGATGTAGATATATGGCTGACACCAGGGTCAAGAAAACAATCAACCTACTTCAGAGTAACTGAGAAGGATCTTATCACCTAACATACTATTCTGGTATGTTTCAGACCCAACAACATTCAGAGAGACTCTCACCCTAAGAATAAAACACCCAAACACAAAGTGAGAGGTATCATATCTGCAGGTCAGTGCAGAGAGGAATGTTCTTATCTCCATACGGGTGGAACATAACATTATCTACACAAAAGAACAGTACAGAAAAGCCAGCTCACCAAAACTCAGCACTTCATCTACAGCTCAAAGACAAGGGACACTGATGAGCACAGCAACGAGGACATTTTAGATATGGTAGGGATGCACGCTTTTCTAAAGGTCTTTAACTGGTTATTGACGCCCTTAATGGTTAATAATCTGTTAACCATAAGTCCCCCCCCGACACACACACGCGCACACATTTTTGCCCCTGCTCTATAAATCAAATGCTTTTTCCGTTAACTCTTTTTAATATAATTCTGATGCACAACCAAAGTCCCACACTCATTACAACATTTAACAAAATGTGGCGTGAGAGTGTGACCAGACCCGAAATGCCCCCGTTGCGCAGAAAAAGCTGTTTATGTTAAAACATGAAAAACCATCATTAAACTGGTGGTCTTAGATCTCATGTTTCTAAAATCTAAAGTTCTGCCATGATTGTCCTCTCCAGGTGAATTCACAACCAGTCACACTTGGAACGTGAGAGCCACACCACTTACATGTTGGAACTTTTAACTCAAACAACTCGTTTGATAGAAGCATGGGACAGAAACTTGGGTGACTAAGATTTGTCTGATTGTTCTAAAACAACTTGTAGGCTCTGGAATCCCTACTTATGATCAGAACTGAAGAAGACTTTATGGTGAGAAGTGAAACATCTTTAGGAAAGAGGACCGGTTCTGTTGGCTCTTTGACCTTTCTGCACATAGGAACTCCCACGTCCCAGGTAGATGAGAATCTATGTGGACACAACACCTGTTAACAGCACACTGCTAACACAACGGCAAGGTGGTAGCAATGCACACAAAGTAGTTTCCTAACCCCTGCAATACTTATTCTGGCAGGGGTGCATGTTTGAGAAAGAACTTTACACAGAAATAATATGATTGGATCATTGAGTGCATTATAGCAAGTTAACATCTATTAAGATTTAAGTCAACAGGTCATTTTAATGCTAGAAACTGCGTCATTATGCAGTGACTAAAGTTATGGCCCCCTAACAATGTATTTACTTTTCAAACTATTTCAAAGTGAGTTTAAGATTTTCATGTACCTTAATGTTGTAATAATTTTCAGCATTGAGGCCAAATGTACCAAAACAATTTGAATGAATTTTGTTTTATGGCACGTACAGGTGCTGTACAATTACTTTTAATTTAATTAAAATTTACAGTAGGAAAATGGAAATTTAGCTTGAAGTCAACAATTTTACTTTTCTTACACTTTATACATATTTGCTGCAGTCTGGCATCAGGCTGAAAACCCTGAACCATCAGATACAGAACAAACACACTAAAGAACACCTCTACCCAAATTCCACTATCTCTGCTCCGCCCCCGCTTTCCGCTCGCTTCTGAACTCAAATTATACTATAGAGCTCCGGACCCCACGTGACTCTCAGTTAGTAGACGCCATATTGGCAGGTAAAAGAAGCTAAACAAACATGGATGTAAACATGAACGTGCACGGGATCGGCTTGGATTTTACTTCGTCGGAGTTTACTTCACACTTTAAAACCGAAGAAATCGTTTTATATAGTCTGAAATTAAATAGACTAAACATCTCCGACCCTTACCGTGCCCCTGGGATACTTTAAAAACGCCAGAAGCTGTCGGAGCGGACTTCTTACCGGACCTAGCCGGGGAACCCCTTGGGATTCCCCCGGAGGAGGCGGCGGCTGGGGAGAGGGAAGTCTGGGACTCTCGACGCTACTGCCCGCTCCGACGCCAGAAGCTGTCGGAGCGGACTTCTTACCAGACCTGGCCGGGGAACCCCTTGGGATTTACCCGGAAGAGCTGGCTCAGGCGGCTGGGGAGAGGGAAGTCTGGGCCTCTCAACGCTACATGCCCCCGCAACCCGACTCCGGATAAGCAGATGAAAATGGATGGACAAATAACAGATTTACACGTAAGTAGTTTAAATAGAGTGCTGTGCTGTTTGAATGTATAAACTGAACGCCAAGAGAAATCACTAGTCTGATTGTTTTCCGTGAATAAAATAAAAATGTCAGGCAGGAGCGTCTCAGGATCTGTCTGAGATCTGTCTCTTTTGAGACAGATAATAGCAATCCAAAGTGCTTTTTATGTGTGATCTGACAATTGGTCAACCATTGCTTAAAAATTAAATACAGCTTAGCCGGTTAATTGCTGTGATCATAAGACACGTAAACGGCAGCACGCAGAACTCACGAGGCAACGTTTTACGTGATGTTTACTTGTTGCCATGAGTAATAAGACAGAAAAAGCCACGCCAAAATAAGTTTAGGAAGCCCACTAAGAATCGTAATAAAAGCATTTAAAATAAATACCATACACAGTTGAGGAAACGTTGGTTTAAGTACCTGATATGAAGCGGTGGCTGCATAAGCGAAAACCTTTACTCTCGGGATCCCACAGTTTCATTTTAGCCCGGTCTCTAGCGCGTTTTATTACAATCATCCAACGTTTGCGGCGCTCCGGATCTTGGGGAATCCTGTAGATGGCTCATTCCTTATGTCGTCCGTGTCTGTTCTGCATCCTGGGGCACAACAGGAATCTACCATATTTCCTGTCTGATTGAGTTTTCTGACAATAACAAATAGCCCAGCTGCCGGCTTCTACCTGCCAAGATGGCACCGTTTCGATTTGAACTGTTGCATGCCGGGAGAAGTGACGTCAACTACCGGAGCTCTATACCCGCTCTACAACGGCTCCGCTCCGGTGCGGAGACCTGAGGTGCACAAACAGGCATGCGCGGGATTTTTGAGATCTTGCGATACAGTCTGAGCAATAAACGCAGAAACTTATATCGCCATTCTTGGCACAAAAAAAAAAAGCTATATTTTTCAATCATGTAACAATGACCAATTTCAATTACACTTTCAAACAAAAGACTTTCAAAACTTTGAAAATACGAGATTAAAACAAAACACCTTTTTAAAGGATTTCGAGCAGCCCTGTGTTGTGGTTACATTTTGAACAGAGAGCACAGAGAGCATGATGAAGCAGTGGAAACACAGATGTAAATATAATTTAGGTGTAATTTTGGTTGCATCTTATTTTCAATGAGCTACTTGCAGTGTAAACAAAATACATCATTCCAATATCTGTCAACTGGCGATGATGAACAGAGGGCAAACAATATATATATATATATCTCGACAAAACAAAAAACTAACTGCAGTGCATCATTATTTTTCTCTCCATTTATTTCCATGCTCCCTTCTGGTTCAGAGTAAGCTAAAATAAACTGCTGCATCATGTTAGAAATGTTGAAGGAAGGAACCTCAGAGGTTCTGACCTAAACATATGGAAGAAACCATACATGACAAAACCGAATAAATTATTTCTAACAAAAACAGTTTAATTAAATATTGCTCAAAACAATGTTTGCTCTAATTGTAATTTATAATAAATTAGATGCTCTAAAATACCTTTCTGAAGCACTAGCTTGTTCGTTTTTAGCTTAACCGGATATAATGATATGCTAATGTTGCAGTTCTTCGCATATTGTCAAACATCAGCGATAAAGGTAATCAAATACAATTAAATGAGTAATAACTTCTATAAATGCGTTTCAATAACATATATTTAACTAAATACTTAACACTCCAGCGTAGCGTGAGGTGCCTTTTTGCAGCTAGAGGACTAAATGCTAAGGGTTAATGTTAGCACAGGCCTCCAAGATGCTACCGCAGCTTCTCGCACTCTCAACTGCCACAAAAATATTTTGATTGTCGGAAAAAATAAAGCTTCTCACCTCAACATCAATGTCGAGAAAGCCTCCTTCGGCTACCTCAAACATGAGGCCCATCTTGGTGCCGGAGTTAACCCGCTCGTAGAAGCATTCCTCGGCATGGGCGTCTATGCTAACAAAATAGCCAGACGCGGTGGCAGACAAGACAGCCAGTAAGACGACTAGCTCTGACGCGGTGAACATACTTCAAATGGTTTGTAGCAAATGTTAAATTATGAAGACTATCTCTTCTTCAGGATGTCATGAAAAACGTCGTTTCAGTAGGTGTACTGTTATTAAGGAGCCGAAGCAGCTTCAGCCGCTGTGTCCTGCTCTGTGACTGCCACGTACGGTTATAGTCTACGGCAAAGCGAGAGGAACATATTTGGGAGAGCACCTGCATAAAAAAAAGGCAAAGATGAACTAGCTTTCTACCTGGAAGAAATCCTTCAAAACTACATCTTTACGTAGAAAACTCTAGAAGGGAAATTATGGAATGGGTTAGTTTAAATGGTTTCATAATTTGAAATGCAATAAAATTTACAGCAAAACATTTCATTAAAAAACATTCCAGCCTACAAATTCAATCTTCATTTAACTTTTTACTTGTATAAAAGAGCAGACTTTCAGTAGACCACAGTAGTGTAGTACTTTTACTTTCCATGGGCTTTGATAGCTGTACTCCCCCCCCCCCCCCCCCCCCAATTGATAAATTGTACATTTACCCCACCAGCTTTTTCCACGTTATTGCTGATTATACAACATATCTATAATTTTTCGTACAGCTGTATTAATTTTAAATGTGTTTTTCACATATGAGTTTAATACAAACTTACCTTATCTTCTTTAAGTAATTTTTTTAAAGGACTGAAAGAGACACTGGAGCAAAGCCACCTCTAGAGATAATTGTGGTGCCTTAAAAGCATTTGGACAAGTTGTGTTGTCAGTAAGATTGGAATAGTTTCCACCTGACTTTAGAAGAGACTTCCATAAATTGTATACTTCCTCTGATGATCTGGTTTACATATACAACACATTTTGATTCCTTTATGACACTGAAGCATAAACCAAAGTTAACTGATAAAGCAAATTAATAAACTAAAATATTTTTGCAAGATTGCATGTGGTCACACATAACAGGGACTGTTGATTGTCCCACCGTCTAGACAAAAGTCCAGACGGGATTGAGTTTTTGTCCTTTTAGCGCCTGAGCTATGGAACTCATTACCAATGAATGTCAAATAAGCTCCATCGCTCCAGAGCGTTAAACCCCGACTGAAAACTCACTCTTACGCGTTTCCACATTGTGCATTGTGGGTATTCTGCTGGTACTATTTTAATCCATGCTGTCATTTTAATGGGATTTTATTGTGTTTTCACTTCTTTTTAACATAGATATTGACTTTAGTTTAATGAATTTATTGTGATATTTAAGTTACAGTTGCTGTGTTTAAACGCTTTGGTCATCCTTTATGGCTGAGTATAAGTGCTACATAAGTAAAGATGATGATGATGATGATGCCAAAATTGTAAGTGGCCTGCATTTATACAGCACTTTTCTAAGTCTGATTGAACATTTTTCACAGTCACTGTCATTATACACACTGACGGTGATGAGCTACATTGCTTGTGTGTGTGTGTGTGTGTGTGTCTCCCTTTTTTGAATGAACAAGCAAATAGAAAATAACAACTAACATAAGCCAAAACAGAAGAAATGTGAAGTGATACAGAAACTAGGGGTCAGTCTACATGGAGAAGAGTTAAAGTTTCATTTAGAAAAAAAGACAAACACAAGGAACAACAAAAATCCCAATTGCTGAACAAACTCTAAAATGTATTCAGTTTATTTTTACAGACAACAAGATAAAAATCAAACCTCATAAAGATCTAAGCAGAATCATTTCCTTAAACCAGCGTAAATAGTTTTGCAGCATAGAAATTTCTACTCAGTACTTTTGCTCCTCATTTGATCAGCTGAATTATAAGATTTCAGCTGATCAAATGATCTTCTCTTTCTAGATACTTGCAGCAGATGATGAGATGGTGCCACCACATCAAACTCAGCCATCTGTGAATCTTCACACTGTAGCAGGTGACAGCAGCAGCCGTGCTGAGAGGGGTCCACTCCATGGTGGTGGCGATGATGATGATATTGACAATGGATGATGATGATGATGATGATGATGATGATAATAATGGATGATGATGATATTGACAATGGATGATGATGATGATGATGATGATATTGATAATGGATGATGATGATGATGATGATGATGATGATGATATTGATAATGGATGATGATGATGATGATGATAATAATGGATGATAATGATGACGATGATGATGATGATAATAATGGATGATGATGATGATGGTGATGATGATGATGGATGATGATGATAATGGATGATGATGATGATGATAATGGGTGATGATGATGATGATGATCATCATAATAATGATGATGATGAAAATGGATGATGGATGATGATGATAATAATCGATGATGATGTTGATAATGATAATGGATGATGATGATAATAATGATGATGATGATGATGATGATGATGATGATGATGATAAGATGATTATGATGATGGTGATGATGATGATGATGATGGTGATGATATAATGGATGATGATGATGTTGATTTATGATGATGATGATGATGATGATGATGACAACAATGATGATGATAATGGATGATGATGATGATGATGATGAAGATGATGACTGCGGTGTAGAACTGCCTCATCGACTGTACTGATAGGTTGAAATTCTTCAGCTGCCTCAGAAGGTACATCCTCTGCTGGGCCGTTTTTATGATGGAGGTGATGGTGGGCTCCCACGTGAGGTCCAGGGTGATGATCGTGCCCAGGAAGCGACATGAGTCCACCATCGTGATGGGAGTGTCACACAGGGTTATAATGGAGAGTGGGGCTGTGTGCTTCCTAAAGTCTACAATGACCTATGCTGTCTTCTGTGCGTTTAGCACCAGGTTCTTGTGGCTGCGCCAGGACACCAGCCGTTCAACCTCCATTCTGTAGGCAGACTCATCCCCGTCTGAGATAAGTCTGATTCAGTTTAAATCAAGTTTATATATGTAGCGCAGAGGCAGCTGACGGGTACCGGCAGTCCAAGAGGAATGCGGCTCGGGTGGTCGCCAAGGCAAAAACCCGGGCATGGGAGGAGTTCGGTGAGACCATGGAGCAAGACTTCCGTACGGCCTCGAGGAGATTTTGGTCCACCATCTGGCGCCTCGGGGGGGAAAGCAGTGCGCTACCAACACTATCTATAATGGGGACGGTGTGCTGCTGACCTCTACTCAGGACGTTGTGGATCGGTGGGCAGAATACTTCGAAGACCTCCTCAATCCCACCGAAACGTCTTCCAGTGAGGAAGCAGAGTCTGGGGACTTTGGGTTGGCCTCTCAAATCTCTGGTGCTGAGGTCACTGAGGTGGTTAAAAAGCTCCTCTGTGGCAAGGCTCCAGGGGTGGATAAGATCTGCCCGGAGTTCCTTAAGGCTCTGGATGTTGTGGGGCTGTGTTGGCTGATGCGGCTCTGCAATATCGCGTGGACATGGGGGGCAGTCCCACTGGACTGGCAGACCGGGGTGGTGGTCCCCTTATTTAAAAAGGGGGACCGCAGGGTGTGTTCCAACTACAGGGGATCACACTCCTGAGCCTTCCTGGTAAGGTCTATTAAGGGGTTCCGGAGAGGAGGGTCCGTCGGATTGTTGAACCTTAGATTCAGGAGGAGCAATGTGGTTTTCGTCCTGGCCGTGGAACACTGGGCCAGCTCAATGCCCTTAGGGGAATCCAGGAGGGTGCGTGAGAATCTGTCCAACCAGTCTACATGTGCTTTGTGAATTTGGAGAAGGCGTTTGACCGCGTCCCTCGGGGGGCCCTGTGGGGGGTACTCCGGGAGTATGGAGTACCAGGCCCTCTGATACGGGCTGTTAGGTCCCTGTATGTCCGGTGTCAGAGCTTGGTCTGCATTAACGGCAGTAAGTCGGGCTCGTTCCCCGTGAGAGTTGGACTCCGCCAAGGCTGCCCTTTGTCACCGATTCTGTTCATGATCTTTATGGACAGGATTTCTAGATGCAGCCAAGGTGTGGAGGGCATCCGTTTTGGTGGCCTGAGGATCAGGTCTCTGCTTTTTGCATATGATGTGGTCCTGTTGGCTTCATCAGAACGTGATCTTCAGCTTTCGCTGGAACTGTTCGCAGCCGAGTGTGAAGGAGCTGGGATGAGAATCAGCTCCTCTAAATCTGAGACCATGGTCTTGATTCGGAAAAGGGTAGAATGCCTTCTCCGGGTCAGGGATGAGGTCCTGCCCCAAGTGGAGGAGTTTAAGTATCTCGGGGTCTTGTTCACGAGTGAGGGAAGACTGGACCGTGAGATCGATAGGCAGATTGGTGCTGCATCTGCAGTGATGCGGGCATTGTACCGGTCTGTCGTGGTGAAGAGAGAACTGAGTCAGAAGGCGAAGCTCTCGATTTACCGGTCGATCTACTGTCACAATATGGGTTGGAGGAGGAAGAGTAGGACCCAAAATGCAGAACGAGATGAAAGAGGCAGAGGTGGAAGATGAAATAAAAATCCTTTATTTTGGAGCAAACCTCGAGGGCAGGGAGCAAAAACACCAAAAATCCAAAACAAACGCTCAAGAACTAGAAACACTCGAAACTAGAGGAGAACGAGACGAGACTGACAGGGAACAATAGACCAACACAACATAGAGACAC